CAACTCTTGAAATCATCACAATTGGTTTTTAGAACGAGAAAATGTCAGACTTTTAAAATAAGAATTATTTCGTGTATTAATCTATTTATTTATCACCTTTTATGTGCTTACTGTGCATAATAAATTTTCAACAATTGTCGCGTCTTCTTATTTTTTAAAATTTTTTTAATGAAGTGCAGAATGCATAGTGTAATATTTGATATAATTTCTATTATGCATAGTTTAGCATTTTTTCGTTTTCTCAAAAGAGTCACATAATTTTAATAGGTAACTTCTATCCCTGTGTGAATCATATCATACATCAACTCTTTTCACTTGTTTATTTGTTAATTTTTGTAGGATGTAGAACGATCATGAAAATATTTCTTCTTTTATTAATCCCCATTTTAATTACTGCATGCAACGAGTGTTTTGTATTCAAACTATTAAAAAACATTTAAATTTAGATAGCGCAATTTGCTCTCAAATTTAAATAAATCTTAAAGGAGTTATATTAATTTTTTTTTAAAAATAAAATAAGTGCTTCGTTGAAATCTGATTTCTTGTTCGTCAAATTTAGCTTCGTTTCAGACCCTTAATCTTTTGATTTCTAAATTCCAAAGCATTTTACTTGCAAATCTTTTGCTGCTCTTAAAAGGTTCAAAAGATTTCGATTATGAGATATTTTCATAATCGAAAATTTTCTTCGCACAACAGAACGATATTTTATACACGGCTAATTTCATTTTCCTTTTTCTTCAAACGAGGAATATTTAATACTCGTTTTAAAGCTTTTGAGTGGGTAGTGTATTCATTTTTAAAATTCTTTCTAGAATATGCTTAAACATCTTTCAGAATTAGTGCAGGTATTTTTTTTTCTTCCTTTTATATCCTTTCTGAACTGAAGTGAATTCAAGACTTCTTAACTTCTAAACACATTCATTTTTATACCCTTCAATGGATCTTAATTTTGCATAAGCAAAACGGTTGGACGCTTTTAACGACGAAGAAGAAAAATATTTCGGCCTCTTAAGATGCTTTCGAATATTTAAATCCCTTTTCTTATTTTTCAACTTAAAAAAAAAAATTCTGAAGTAAAAACGCAACAAAATTGCTGTCCTTAAGACTAGGTATTAAAAACACCGTGTCAGCCATCATTAGTGAATTTTACTCTCCATCTAAACAATACGCATGCGCAAAAGGATTTTTGCTCTCAACATATTCAATTTCAGTTGACGCCCGTTGCTGACTTAACACCATTTTCTGATCCTCCTTCTTCCAATCAATAAATCTCATTTACTATTCTAAGAACCTTTTTTTTCTTTCTTCTTTTACATCGTCAACTCCCCTTATTTTTTCTATTTTCTTATTATTTTGAATTTTTCGGTACCGTATAATTCCGTCATGAAAAGGAGTGAAGAGTTTCGTCATTTTTGTCGTTTTACAGATTTTTTCTTTTTTTTCTTTTTTCACATCCTTCCAAACTCCCTCCTTTTCTATCTCTTTCTTTCTTTCTAAAACTTGCATCGTAAAATTTTTCTTTTGCTGTTGTTTGTGTGTTTATTTTTCGCGAACTGTTTTGAGAGATTGTGACAGTAACGCTGGCATTGTATGTCATTCTTATGTCTCTGTGAAAAAAGAAGAGATTTCTGTGCTATTTTGAGCTTCCTGAATAAGACTGCAGTCTACGAATTTTTGTAATTATCTAAGTAAAGTGCTGTTTTTCCTTCTTTTTGAAATTTTGTTGGCTGAAAAAATACTGTACTATAAGAGAGAAATATTACGATTTCTATTTAAAGACATGCTCAGAATGATGTAATTTCGAAACAAGCATAAACATATTAAGGAAAATAATTATGTTTTCTGTTGTATTCCCCAAAATGTACAAGGAACTAGGGTCGAATATAAGAACAGAAGCGCTGTCTTACTTAAAATGTTGAAACATATTAATGAACTATTAAAATACATAAACTCATTTGAGTACTCATAAACTATAATATACATAACATTTGCGCAATAAATATTAATGTATAAATAATGTCTATCGTTTTCTTTTACGATAATATTCCCAAATATTAAGAATTAGTGTTAGGTGGCAGTTGGAAAGGCATATGGTTCAAAATGAGAGAATTCCATCTTTGAGACCCTCTCTTGAGAAATGATTCGCTGCATGTGAAGTCTATGATTGGCTTTAAAAAACATGAAATTTGTGTCCGAGTGGGAGACATCACCTGATTGCGTCGACTTAAAATGAGTGTCTTTAAAAGAAAGAGAGCAATGGAAAAGTGCTCATAAGTTTAAAAGGGTGCTTACGTTTAAGCTGCAAACCTTTCTGGTGGAAGAACATGTTAAATGACATTTTGAAGATTGTTCGTGTTAAGATCAGCCATGCGTATTTATTTAATGTTGACCCATTTTGTCAAGTTTGACTGTTTCTAATGACAATTCCTCTTTGTTTATAAATACCATACATTCTAAAGCTAGATTTTTCCAATTTGCTCTGAACTGTCTCTTTAAAAATCTTCCACTAAACTCTCTGTTTTTTTAAAACCATTATTGCCTATTCTGAAAAGTTTTTAAAAATATAATATAAAAACGCACAATACGAAGAAAAAAGACATCCATTTATAGTATTTATTCTTGATGAAGTATTTTTCACGTATATTTAAAAAAAATAATAATAATAAGGAAGATTAAGAATTTATCTAAATTCTCAGTAAAACCACTAAAATTGTCACGAAATCTGCATGATGGACATTTTTAGGTTTAATTAGATTTGCAAAGTGGTTTGTTAAATAGGCGAGCAAGTAAGTAACAAGTAAGCAGCATCGTCCACGATAATCATATTTCAGAACAATCAAGTTATTTATTATTTTATTTGAAATAAGGACGTCGTGATCGTCCTTTTAAGGATGAGATTAGGATATCAAAAATATTCTAAAGTAGATAGATCTTTAAGGATAATATTTAGTTTCTCGGAAATACAGGAAGCGTAAAAATACTTGTTACTTATTCGATAGGGTCCACTTTTATTTTTACTGCATGGGTCCAAAATGAACTACATAATATAAAAATAAGCGGTTGTCTGCCCAAAGATATTGTACTTTTTTTTTTTGAAATTTTTTTTTTATTGATATTAAATTTGGCACACTGATAGTCTGGAGTGCGAGGAAGGTTACTATTCGATTTTAAAACTTTCTCCTCTCCGAACAGGGAATTATGTTATTTTTAAAATATCGCATATAGTGCATATAGTTTTCCAAATGCTTTATAAAATTTTATAACGCAACTCAGATAATCACCCTATCAATCATTTATTCTCAAAATAATATTACTGGTTTATTCACCATATAAATTACACATGTTCTAATAATGCTCATATATTGAACCATAATTTGCAATTAGTTTGGGGTTTATTCCATGGTATACTCTTAATTGGGTGCCTAGTTTGAACCCAGGTACTTGAATGCCGACCTTTTATTTGAAGAATCGATAATTTTGAAAAGCTCATCGCTTCCGATACCCACTGGGAAAAGGGGTGGTGGAATTGAGAGAAATCATTTTCGAGCACTTCCCGAAGGGGAAGCAGAAGGGGCCCCCTTACCCCTCGAATCACGTACCTGCCTTAGCCCGAGGGCTAGACTTCTCAATTCATTAGCGTATAGCGGCACAGAATGTTATCCATTTAATGGTGGAGTGGGGGGTGAGGGCGAATACGAGGGATGCTGAGAAATTCCTCGGATCCGCTGAATCACTTGGCGGAAAATTCATTAGCGGAAATTTTTCCGCCTCCTTGACCGCCAATTAAGTATCCGCCGAATAAGCTATTGTGGGGGTGGAATGGTGTGGAGAGAGAAAGGGTGTATCGAGAATTGGGGGGGGGGGGNNGGGGGGGGGGGTAAGATATTCCGAATGCTGATGCAGCCTTCTGATTTTATATGGGATCTAAACTTAAATGACACAATGTGCCATAATGTTACCATAGTTGACTTAAATCATTAAAAATTGTAAAAGTGACTTTTTAAAATCGCGTTTCATTTAATGGCTATATGTAATGATGCAAGCTTCTAATTTATATTTCATTCGTTACCTTATTTCTGTGAAACTCCTTATCTAGCGAGCATTGTATACTTTGAGGAGGGTGGAGTAGGGTTGGTTTCATTTTATTTAAAATAAATGGCAAAATTATGAAGGAACCAAAATATAAACTTGTTTTCTAAAACCTTTATTGTATCCGAATAAACTATTTCGAAGAAAAAAAATCCATATCTAAGATTTAAAAAAAAGTCAGAAAAAAGTTGTTTGCTCAATGAGCTGCACATTGGACAGATTCTGTACTCTGTAAAAACTGTGGTTTACAGCAACAGTCCGTTGTAAAACAACTTCTGTCTGAATTTGATGTGGGTTGTTGGACAACTCTAAAAATTGTATGATGGAAAAACTTTATTTAAAGTTCGAGTGTTCATGCACCCTTAAAAAAAAAGTGCAGTTAAATCTAAACACCAATAATGTGGATGCCTTGCTCCAAATTCACGCGCATTCACACAAGTATTTTCGCTTTCGAAAACACTCACTTCAGATATCGTCATTAGATGAACACAAAGGAATGGTCTGGGATGTTTCACTACATGAAAGATGTAAAGAAGTTGTCATCCTTTTTGGAAATAAGATACACTAAAATTTAACACTTTTAGAAAATATTGATTTCTACGCTGAATAAAGTATCTCGAACCCATAATATCTTGTCAATTTTCTTCCATCTTAATGAAGTGTTAAAGTGAGCATTATTTCTTCTGAAGTTTAGCCGTAATATCGGATGAGGTTTACGAAAGTTAATTTGTTCTGTAATAGTATTCAACTTAGAGCCCATAGTATGATTGTTGTAAAATTTGGACGTTGTTATGGCTCAAGGTACTCCAAAATTTTTCAAACTACTATCCATGTTAGTTAATTTTTTTAAACTTTGCTTTTGCTTTAAAAAAGTTGCATAAATAATTAATTTTGTTTTTTTGTTTTTTCAGGCGGGCAAGGTGCCAATGGTCCCTCCGCATTCCGGTTCGCCTTTGCCGTTTATGGTGAATATTCACGGTGAACCATTTCCCCCTCAACCACCACCAGCTCATATGGGAATTCCTCCTGTAACGATAGATCCAAAAACTGGTATAATAACGTCTTGCTTATCTCCTACTTAAATAAAATGAATACAAGTGCTAACCATAACCATTTTTTTTTAGGCATACCAAGCCGGACGATGTACATAGGTCCGCCGGCACAATATCCGCCTGTTTTCACACCAGATTTTACTCATCAAATTCAGTGGTAAGTAATCACGCATTTGTGAAGAAGTCTTATCCATGAACTCTCATTCGCTTTGTTATAATAGTGTGTTACAAATGAACCAAGACGAGATGGAATCAAAATGATTTTCGTGTTCCTAGTCAACCACCCTTATTCCAATACCAATAAACATTTTGTTTAGCACTTTTTATTTTGATTCATTGAAATTTTAGTTTAAATGGCGTCCAGGGTGATCATAATGGGATTAAAATGCACAGAAATCATCATTATTTAAAGTGAATCGCTCATATTTCCTGACTAAAAAAAAAAGAAACAATCCATCTCTTTTTCTTTTGTGACACATGAAAGTCATTAGGCATTGTCCCCTTCAGTTGTTTCTCCATTTTTATAACGCACCGATTTGTTTATATAAATGAATACACAGAAATTGGCATCAACTACTAATTTATTTTCTTAATGATTTGGGCGAAGTCGTAAGAAAATCTAAGCATTTATTATTTTTTCCGACTTTAAAAAGAAGTATCCTTTTCATAACTATAGGTTTCGGTGCAAAAACAAGATTTTAAGTCCCAGTTGTAATTAAAAAAATTTTCTTCTTCCCGTGGACACTGTTGCTACTTTAATGAGTGCATGGACCGGGTAGGAATGTAAATTAAATTTCCTCCCGATCGGAAAATAGTGTATGTGTAAGAAAATTATTGACATTTAATATTATTTGGCTCTTTCCGACAATTCGTGAGTCCCTGAATTGTAATCTCACTACAGTCATCTTCAATTTAAAATATAATAAACGTTTTCACACATAGTGCTTGTTTCTAAAACTTTTTATTTTATTTTATTGAAATGATCTTGTAACCCTTTGAAGTAGATGGGACACCGGTGTACCTTTCATACATTTTTTTCTGATTCTCTAATTACAAGCAAAAATACATTTCAGTATTTTAAATAAAAGAAATTTAGATTATCAGAATATGATTATCGGTACTGAAATATAAAATCCAAAAAGAAATTTTTTTTTTCCCGTTGTAAGTGAATAGTGTTAGCTAGTGAGCCTTTTTTTTTTGACCATTTGAACTTTAATGCAGTAAAATATACCAGTGTTTCGCGCTGTAATTCATAACCATGAATTATTATAATGTTAAATATAGCATTTTTCATTTATTTTGATCTCAATCAATACATAATGAAGAAAAATATATTAAAAATATGTTTAATAAAAATGCTGCGTCAAAGGGTTAACGATACATCATGGTTACTACAGTACTTTAAAAAAAAAAAATCCGTTTTTGAAATCTCAAATACTTAAATCTATTCAATATGTATGCCATTTCTAGAGATCGTATATGTGTCCAGAGTGTCAAAAAAATGCCATTTAAACTTGATAGAAAGGTTCATGGTTGAACATTGTTTAGGACTAAGTTGTGAAGGAAGAAGACCCTGCCATGCAACTGGGGACAAGGAAGAAAAAAAAATCCTCAGAATGCAATAAAGGAAAAACGTGCAGAACAAGCGACTATTACCCTGCAGGACTTAAACCCATTCTTATTTTGACATCTTGAAACCGCCTTAACCCTCCCCACAGAATTTTCTTGTTTAAACAGTTCACCTTTTATCGGGAGATTTATTGAACACGAAGCTTTTATTTTCAGGAATCCCATTGTGCGACGTTGTTTGTATGTTTGACACGTTCTTTTATTACCGGGGTGATTAGAACGACCCCAGTGATACTTTCAATAGATAAAAAAAACCACCTCCCCTCCTCTTTTTTATTCTTTGACCAGTTTCAAATTGTTATCTTGTCCTTTTGTGTATGTTTTTAGCTTCTACGAAAATTAGTCCTTGCCAAGTGGCGAGAATTATTGATAATATATGCTTCTGAATCACCTGTCTTGTTGTACAATGGTTTCAAGCGTAAAACGTTGCCGCCCTCCTTTTACCTCTGGATCCTATAATTTTTTTTTTTTTTATATATTTTGGAGTGATGCGGAATATATATATATATATATATATATATATATAAGTGATAACACATTGGTTTATATAAATACATTCTTTCTTTAATTTACTTTTTATAATGAGTTTTGTATTTATTGATTTTATCTATTTCTTAAAAATCACAAATTTGGTAGCATTTCGAATAAGAAATACTGAATAATAAGAGCAGCAATTTGTTTTGTAAAGTCGTGTATTCTTAATTTTCGTGGTCTGTTTGGTATATGATTCTGACTTTGATACAAATTATTGAGACTAAAATTGCTTAGTAAAATTAGCAACTCTTTTACCCATTTGATATCCATATGTATTTAAAATTCTTTAATGGTTGTACGACAAATTTGTAATTTAAATTAAAAATTTGCGTTTCTTTCACAAGCGCAATATTCTACATTTATTTATTTATTTTTAATTTTTTCATTTTTATTTTTATGTTTAAGACTAATGCTGTAACTTTGTGAGAAAAAAATCAACATTTTTATTTATTATTATTTTTTTTTAGAAAAAAGTAGGTTTTTTCTCTCTCTCTCTAGAAGGATCTTTTGAAGTTGTAACACTCTTTGCTTTTTATTTATTATTTTAATAACGAAGCCCAAAATAATTTCCAAGCGATGAAAAAGAAATTGCTATATATTGAAATTGTAGCTGTTGCTTTTCCAAGGACATGAAGGAATAAAGGTTACAGGAAAGCGTTTAATAGTAGTAATAGAATTAGTGTAATTAGTACGATCTCAACTGAACAATTATTATTATTTTTTTTAAATTCATTTAATGAAAATGATACAACTCTTCTTACATTTACGTATTTCTTATAGTTTCAATTAAACAAGGCAATTGAACCACACATTTTAAAAAACTAGTAGAAATTTTTAAAACACAATGATAAAACTGAAATTACAACAGAAACCGATTTAAAATGTTGAATTACGATTAAAGTTCTGTTACAGGCACTCAGTTATCGATATTAATGTGTTTGTCTCTCTTTTAACTCTGGAATTTTGTCTCTATGAACTCTAGAACCGATTTATGTTAGCTGCCTGAAATTTGAGGTTCTAGGAAAAAAAGTACCGGAAAAAAAGGTCCCGAAGAAAAAGGTACCTGGAAAAAAAAAAGGTACGGAGAAAAAGGTCCCGGTAAAAAAGGTACCTGTGTAGGGAAAATTCTGTAGGGGAAAATATTTGAAATGAGAAGATTAGATTGAAGCGCTTTTTGCTGTTCCGTGCATGATTTTTTTTTTTCGTGTCGCGCGTTTTCAACTAATTAAAAAGGACCAATACTTTCACCTCCAATCACGAATAAACATCCAACACATAAATCCTCCCAACTTCCCCGATTGGCTACTTTAAGCCTCACATTAGCAACTTCTTCACAAAATATAATTTAAAATAGAAAATAACACATTTTTCACTTTAAAAAATTACAAAAAAAAAGTAAAACATTATTGAAAAATTTAAATAGTATCTTCCCGCTTTAAAAAATAATCAAAGAAGAATAAATAAATGAAATAAAATTTTTAAAAAAAAGCGTAATATAACCAGCCCATAAGTCCCCCCCTTACCCTTCTCCTTACCTCAATGATCTAATCTGAATTATTACAAATAAAAAGAATATTCATTGAAACAGCGAGAAGCATTCATGCTGCCCAGAAAGCGAGAAGGGAAATATCCCTACAGATTTTCCCTGTAGAGGTACCTTTTTTACCGGGACCTTTTTTTCCAGGGACCTTTTTTTCCGTCTACCGAAATTTGAACGGTGGATGGAAGGAGCAATTTTAGACCCCGATCATAAAAAGCGTTCAAAAATTTCAATTACTTTGTTCAGAACAGACGTTTGAAAAATAGAATTTTCTTTATTGATTATATAAGTGCCATTGATAAAAATGAAATCGCAAATGATTCTGTTTCGACTAATATTAAAGATTACATCATTGATATTTGCTAGCTTATAGATCTCATTAAAAAAAAAAAGGAAATTATCTCGCGTTCTCAGACATTCTTTATTCGTTATGTCAGATAAACTCAATGATCAACGTGAATGGTAGCATAGGCAACCTACGTCACCAAATTAGCATTCCTAAAATTATCTGAAACCACGTGTTTATTTATTTATTTTTATAATTATGCTTTGAAAAGGTGTTTATGTCATTCTCAATAATTTAAAATTAACGGTAGAAATAAAAGAAAAAAAACTTTAGGTTTTGTACAGAAAAGCAAAATTAATGGAGATAGTACTAATTCGATCAGGAGAAGCATAAGAAAATACTTTTATTGACAATGATGCTTAATTAATTTTGGTAATAGGTAATAGTTGAAACAAAAAATTAAATATGCTCTAAAAAGTAAAACCAATGCTACTCATTCGCTTAGGAGAAACGTAAAAAATCGCTGTACTATTATTGATGCCCAAGCTGTTTAATTAATTTTTGGTGATAGGCTCTTCTGGTAGCAAATAATATAAATATAGGTGCAATATATAATTGTTTCCATCCCGTACTTAGAACGGGCATTCACTTAGTGCTTCGCTAATGCTAAAACTTCAACGAAATTTCGTTTCGTACTCAGATTATCTTTTAATGTGAATAATAAATAAAGAAGCTGTTCAACAGGAAGAACAAACTCCTTTTAAAATCCCATCTAATTCATATTCATGATAGATCATTCTCATAGACCACACCAATACAACAGCTCGCGGTTACAGTGAATGATTCAAATGTCAGCAATTAAAAAATTACACTTCAGAACAATGGAAGACGTTATCGAGAACTATTCATTTCGGGCAGCGCGCTCAGAATCAACAAAGGAATGGACGATGACCTTAAAGCTATCAGTTGCGGTTACGATTCTTTAATTATGCCTTTCAGGTTACGAAATAACTTCAGATTGAAAAAGAGGAGCGGCGGTGGCGTGGGAACTTCTGAATGAAATTTTTATTAATAAAATGTCGTTTTATTTTAAATTTTTAAAAAAAATATATATTTGTTCCTTTGAAATGGCAGTTAAATTTTGAAGGTTAATGACTCCATTATTCTGTTTTTATTGATTTTATTTGGAAAGTGCCGCTGATTTATTATTTTGTTCATCTAATAGTGTATTGTTCTGAATAGATATATCTTAGCAGGTTGTGTAATTTAAAGTAAAATAATAGATTGTTGCTTTAAAATTATATTGTATACTTGTGTAACTATTAATTCGAAACTTATGAATTATTAGTGTAATTTTTAAATATTTTAAATTTAGCAAAATATTCTTGTAAACTAATTTTTTAATCCATAAGTTGTCCTTGTGTATAAATAATTGAAAAATTAACCATTTACAACAGAAGTTAATCATTAAGAACAAAAATTAAAAACTGGAAAACAATCCTCTGCTGCTTCCACGCTCGGTTCTATTTTCCACACTTAAAAATATTCTTTAATAAAAAAAAATAAGGAAAATGTAAGAAAACGATTTCATAAACGTCGTAATTTTAGAAAGTGTTCTAATTTTAAACTTATGTTTAATAATAAAGCTATAATTTTTAGGTATTTTTTTTCCACTTGAAACAGGATTCAGCTAAATAATAGAGATTTACTCAATTTATCTACCATTTCACATGGATCACACAGATGAATTTAACTGTCATCAGAGTGTTAAATAATAATTGTGTTAATATAGCATTTGTCTTATTTACTGTTAACAACAACAACAAAAAACGTAATATGAAGTAATTTCTATTTTTATATTAAATTGATATCTGGCTATAAAAGACTAATTTTTTGTAATCTTAAATTTAAAATTTCCTCCTCTTAATAACAATTGTTATGCATTTATAAAGAAAAAAAAATTTCAAAAATGCTCTTAAGTATAATACTACGAGTATTATTTTTAAATAATAGTGTAGTTATAAAAAATTAAAAGCTGTAATAATACTTTGAGAATAAATGGAATATATAAAAATTGTAATTTTTTTTAGATAGACTGTGCTCCAAAGCACCAAAGTAGTAGTATCAATAAAAAATAATAGTTTTGTTCGAATTTACTGGATGCTTTTAGAGAAATTAAGCTTAAGTCACGTTTTTCTTAGAAATAGTGATTGATTCTACATTGGTTATGGTATTCATTCATTTACGACTTATTCATTTACGATCTCACGCTATGCTCTATACTTATATAAAGCTTCAACCGTGGACTTTAAATTAAAAAAAAGAAATTCATTAATTTTTTTAAAAAGAAATTTGGGTGTTTTTGTTTGTAAGTTATTTCATAATCATTCTGAATATAATTTTTCTTTCTGCCAGTTATGTTTAACCATCATAAAATGACCTGTTAAACTTTAGTAAGGTGTTAATTAATCACTTATTTAATTAAACATAAATGTCACTTTCAATTCAATTTTTTTAAAATTGAATAATTTAACTTTTTTGATTACAAATAAAATTTAAAACAAATTAATATGTTACACAAAATACTTTTTAAAATATATATTTGCCTAGATATAATTAAATTTTTCCTAAAATGCTGNGTAAGGTATTAATTAATCACTTATTTAATTAAGCATAAATGTCACTTACAATTCAATTTTTTTAAAATTGAATAATTTAACTTTTTTGATTACAAATAAAATTTAAAACAAATTAATATGTTACACAAAATACTTTTTAAAATATATATTTGCCTAGATATAATTAAATTTGTCCTAAAATGCTGCACAACACAAATAAGTATAAAATTTGCTATTAAAAACTTTGAATATTGAAATCATTTGACATTATATTTCTAATTTGAAATCATCATTGGTTATTTGTGATGCAAAATTTAAGAAAATGTAAAGAAATGATTAAGAACAAATTTTAGCATTTTGGGGCGTTTTGAATAATGAGTCATTAAAAAAGAGTTAATTATTGTTTAACAAAGTGTATGGTGAATTTTGTTGAATAATGCAATGTAATCCTTAGTTTTTTTTAAAAAAATCTTTGTGATTGAGAGAATATTTATAATTATTGTAGGCACCCGCCCTCTCTTTACCCGACGACTTCGGCCGGTTTCCGAAGCGCCTATTCATCTGCCTTGCCTGTCACGTCTGCGAATCTTCCAAGGTTCAGTCCGCCAACGATACTGACGCACTATCCGGGTATCTCTCATCCTGCCCTTATTACATCTGGACCAAAACAGGAGTTATCTTTACATCACACCAACCACAGGTATCCACTGTAAGATAACATTTCTTTTTTCTTTTCTTTTATTTTCCTGTATATTTTGTTTCTTACTCAACCAATTCAAAAATAATTAAAAAAATCAACTCATTAAAATTGATTTATTTTTTTCTTCATTTTACCAATATTAGTATATGGTAACCATATATGACTAAATCTTGATACACTGTTGCTATTATATTGTCAGATGAATGAAAATCATAGCATGTGCAAGAAAACTTTTTTATGGGTACAGGTAAAGGAAGCCTACTTATCAACTAAGTCTGCTTCTTGTGCTGCCATCTATTTCTCAAACAACTAAATAAAATTTTAAAATGTTTAATGTTCTTTTTAAAAATTTGCATGCATAGTTTTATTGTTTTTACTTTAACTTGTAATTGCTATTTACTTTATAATTTTGCCTACTATTTAGGTTTATTTGTAATGATCTAGCCTTAGTAATATGAGGTTTTTTAGCATTAATATGAGGAATTTAAAGAAATATATACTTGCAATGACCAAGTGTTGTCATATTAATTAGGTATAAAACGATGGTTTGTTGTATAAAGTTTAATCAATGTGCTCAAATATTTATAGCTATTTTGTTTAGTTAGAAAACTTGTTTATAGAAGTGTTGTTTATTTTCAGGAGCTTGCCAGAATACTCTGAACAAAAATACAGTCCCAAGTCTTTAGTGCCAACTAGTACTCATAATAACAACAATAATGACATGACCAATAATAATGGAGAGAGAAAAACGCACATTAAAAAACCCCTTAATGCTTTCATGCTTTACATGAAAGAAATGCGAGCCAAAGTCGTGGCGGAGTGTACCTTGAAGGAAAGTGCAGCTATCAACCAAATACTCGGCCGAAAGGTAACACTTTTATTTAATAATATGCGAATATTGAAGTAGTATTTCTGCCTGAATAATTTTGTTTCAGCTAACAATTTCCTCATGTTTTAAATTTTTAAAAACTTTTTAAATTAATTGAAATTCTTCATTATTATTAAATACTTTGTTTTCCATATTTTTATTCTATTATAGAAGATTTGTTTTGGGAAACATATGTACACTGTATCAATTTTCAACCTAATGCTGATTATTTTAGAGAGAAACCGGATTTTTCATATTTTTTTATTCAATTGTGTGAGATTAAGTGGACGCCATACCACGGGGAAAACTTTTCATTGCAAATTTTCTTTCATCTTCATAACTGCTTTGAAATATAGAAAAAGCGAGTTCAAGCAAATTTAGAGTAAGCTATAAAGTTTCATTTGCTGAAGAAAAATTGAAAATATCAAAACACAAACAAATTATAGGAAGAAAACTTCCCATTTTGTAATCCTTAGTTGTCTTCTCATAATTTATTTTCATTTTGAAATTTTCTTTTCAGTATTTAAAAAATGTCTTTATATCTTTTCAGTATTACTTTAGGTTTGTCCGAACTCACTTTTACCTTATTTTAAATTAGTTATGGAAGCGAAAGAGAATTTGTAACAAAAAATTTATCCTGTGTCCTCTTAAGGTTTAACACTGGACCCATTTACATAATTGCTTCTTGTGTGTTGTTGAAAAAGAGAAGTATTTTTGCATATCACAAGATTGATTGCCATATAAATTCTGATTGAAATGTTTAAAAAAACAAAATATTTTTTAATTTTTTCTATCCTGGAAGATTTATTAAAGCAAATAGACTAATTTTCATGCTAATGATTGTTCTTTTAAAAAAATCAAAATTTTTTCAATCATTTTTATGCATACAGGGAGATTTGTTAAAGCGGGTATATATCATTAGAAAAATTTCTATGCTAAGGCAAGAAAAAAAATGCAATATTTCCATATCCTTTTTCTATTTTTGAAGGTTTATTAAAATTAATGCACGTCACTTCACATGCATTACTTTTTTTCTTTTCAGGATAATTTATTAAGGAGAACATAACGACCAGGCAGTGTAATTTTTTAAAAATATAAGTTAAAAAATAACAGTAGAAATTTTGATTTTTTTTTCTTAAATTTCAAACTTAATGAATTCTAATTTAATGAACTTTTTCATAATAATTTTCATCAGCTTTTTTGAATAAACTCAAAAATCACTATCGAAATATATTTATTTGCTGAAGTTGGTATTTCTCCTTACTGGTGATTTTATTCTATAGGTCATAAGGTGTTTATCTAAATAATTGAATGCACTTATTTATATAATAAAAATTTTTGTACAAATTATATTTCTTCTTTCAGTGGCACGGCCTGTCACGTGATGAACAGGCAAAGTATTATGAAATGGCTCGAAAGGAACGCCAGCTTCATATGCAAAAGTACCCTGGCTGGAGTGCGCGTGATAACTACGCTCTCCAAGTCAAGAAAAAGAAACGAAAAAGGGATAGAACTCAAGATGGAGGTACATTCCTATCAATTATTCCCCATTCAATAAATTTATCAAACTTATTTTATTATTATTATTATTCTAATAAAAAATATTAATATATTATTATAAGAAAATAGATATTTGTGAAAATGGATCAATCTTTGAAATTCTTTATGATAAACTGTATTCTATTTTTTCCCTCAACAGTTAAAGTTTTAGATAAAAACAAATACTTTTTGCAAATGTGTATGCATAATAAGAGAAGCTTCAATAAAAAATTAATTAACATCGAAATGATTAATCATCACGATAACACATTTAGTTAAATGTATATACAAATTGAATTAATGTTCTATCATATATAAATTCAATATGCAACTTTAGATAAAAATTTCTATATTTATGTTAATTTTTTATCTATATAAGTTATTTAAAAACTAGATTTTCAAATTTCCTTATTTTAAGTTATATTATAATATCATCTGTTTCTTTGCGATTTTTTTTTATAGTTATAACACAAAAATTTCACTAGTGTTTAAGATGTCTATCATTATTTACACTTTATATCTAGTATATGAATATGTTAATCTGTATAATTTTTAAGAAATACCTATCTTTTAAAAATAATTTTTGTCAAATGTTTTAGATTTTAAATGTTTTTTTTTGTTTAGTGCAGTGGCATTTTTAAAGTTTTTAATACTTGCATTTGTACTAACATGCAGCCAGGGGTAGATCAAACCACCTGTAAGTACAGTGTTTTAATACAGGTTTCTGGCTTCAAATCATTACGCTTTTTATTCCACCTAGTTGACATTTTTTTAGCATTTTGTTCTTGCCTGTTTAATTACTCTGCCAAAAATAAACTTTTTGTTCTCATAATTGCATGCAAATCTGCAAAAGCATGCATATATATTTCCCCCTTTATATTTGTAATAAGCTATTTCTTTTACCATAATTTCCTTTATTATGTCTTTGTTATGTATAAAATAAATGATATCTCAACTTTGAAATGACACAACACCCAGTTATTTAGAAAATTTTGAAATAAATAGAATGTGCATTAACATTATTTATGACCTACAAAGTTGATAATTAACAAAAGCATTAAAATGAATATGAGCTCCTATAATTTTGCAGAAACTGTTTTAAAACTGTTAAAAGCTTCCTGTTTTGGCTTTCTTTTTAATTCTAGGAGAGAGCTACATAATTCATAATAAATAATATTTGAGGCGAGATAAACACTCACAGATTTTTTTTTTTCCCTTGCAGATCTTGCAAATTTTAATTAATGTAGTTTATGCATTTTCAACCTAGTTAAAAAAAATTTTTTTCTTGTTTGAAAGAGTTAAAATTGAAATGATGAAAGAAGTAAATGTTACTTGGGTGAAAAAATCTTATTTTGATCATTTGTTGTAAAATCATTTACTTACCAAGATAAGTTGCTTTAGAATTTAAGTTATACATGATATTAATTTGAAATCAACTTTGTGCTTCCTTTTGACCAAAAATAATGTTCTTCAAATTGTCCTAAGAAGAAGTTGTTAAGTTATTTTCTATTTTTATTTCTTTATGTTAATGTACTTTAAAGTAATATTATATTGTATTAAAAAAATGATAATTGTCAACTCAAATAAGTCCCCCCCCTTTTTTAAAAAAAAAAAAAAATTAGTTTTTTTTTGTTTGCTTTGATTTAAAATGCATAGCATTCTCGTTCGAAAGGAATCACGGCCATCCCAACAAAAATAAATAAAGGCTAACCCCGTACTTACTGCAAATGGAATAAATGATACACATCATATTTTTTAATCATGGAAGTAACAAAAGCATTTTACTTTGTTTTTGTAATGACCATTCCATATGTGTATTTTTAGAATTCTTGTCACAAAGAAAATTTTAAAAAAAAGTATGAACATTAGTTATAAATAGATCCTCACCCATAGTTTGACAGAATTTTGTAGCATTTTTGTTTCTTATGCATTTAAATATTAAGCCTTAATGTTTATGCTTTTATTCACTTCATTTTTGACAAGGATTCTAAAGATATATATTAAGGGAGGTCATTATAGGACACCCTTTTAATTGTGACCTGCCCAGTTAGACCTAATGCAGGAGAAATTCTGTTTCCCTAGTTACAAAATGATGTCATTTCAGAAATGAGGAATATTTTTAAAAATGTACTTAAAAATATTTGAAAATTTAAGAAATTTTTAATTTAAGTGGTATTGCTTTTTTTAATTTTTTTTCTCCATTTATCTTTTATATGAACATTCTTTTTTATCTATGCGCATGATCCCTTAAATAAGTATTTCAATTTTATCATTGTCTCTATTCAACTAAAAGTTAAACTTCTACATGACTTGTAAATATATTTATGACTGTTTTCATAATTGTTTGGGATTGTGCATTTCAATATGAGTTTTATTAAAATATCTAAATATTTCAGCCCTGAAATTTCTTCTGCTCTTTCACTGAAAAATGTAGATATTATTTTCTCCTTTGCATGTGTTTCTTCACAAAAATTGTTCTGCACTTTCATTTGTTTCTGTCAACAAGGTGGAATAAATTGATATTGATTAGATATTGACATAAGGAGGTTTAATAACATGCAAATACTTGAAAAATCATTTTCTGAAATTTCAGGGCTGAATATTATTTTAACAATCATGTCGTGACAACTTTTCCATGTAACACCCAAACTTTTGTTATCATTAAACGTATATATGTTTCCATAAAATCTGAGAAGTAATAATCTTTTATAAACTTTTATAGACGGCAACAACCTCAAGAAGTGCAGAGCCAGGTTTGGTCTAGACCAACAGAACAGTTGGTGTAAACCTTGCAGGTAATTTTGAGGGTGGATTTATATTTTTAATTTCATAAGTTATATATTTAATATTTATTCATTCTGTAATTTATCTATGTAATATGCATATGCTTTGTGTTTTGTTTCATTATCTATTATTCATTATCTATTTGCAAATCTTATTACATTTTTTTGTCACTTATTAAATTTTCCAAATGAATGTTTCAAAATTATCTTGCCTTTCTAACTATCAATTCTCATAGAGAATGATAGGATATTATTTTATTGTTACTTATGCCCCCAAAGCAGCTAGTATGTCACTTTTTTTTCGCAATTCATGTTCCTCGGTTAGAAAAAAAGTACTGACACTTCAAATGCTTGTTCATGAAATTCACATGTTATTTTAGTATAATTGTAGGTTTCCCCAATTTATCATAGAATTCTTGCTGCATTCAGAGAGACATTTGAAATTTTCATCATGTTCTTTTGAATTTTAGTGCAATATGTTTTTAAATCTAGTTTCTAGTCCTTTTTTCAAGCACTTTTAAACTGTCCACATCTTATTACATTTAATACATAATTAGGTACATTATTTAACATATAATTAAATTTAATATATAATTACATTTTCTTTAATTAAATAAGAAAATCTGATTCATAATTGGAGAGTTTAGTGAGAGAATTTATGAAGCAATATTTTATTGAATTTGGGAAACATTAGGAAGTTGCTTTTAAAATATATTTGGTTATATTGAAAATTATTTATTTATTTAAAGAAATTTCAGAATAAATGCTAGATTTACTTGACCTGAAAATATAAGTTTTTAAAACTTTTCCATTATCATTCAATGTAAGGTCTTTGTTATAGGCGAAAAAAGAAGTGCATTCGTTACCTGGACGGTGCTGATAACTCTTTAGAGAGTGAGGACAATTTGGGTAGTGCCGGAAGTGTCGAGGCACCCACACCCGATTCCAATAAGACTGAAGATACTGACAGTCAAGATTTGGACACTATTCAAAACAATAATTCTCCTCTCAGTCCGTGTACTGATGAAATGGACACCAAACCTAGACTCGACAGCAACGGAATGCTGCGACCGCAGAGTCCTCTTCAACAGCATTTGTATCACCATCCTTACAGTGTACGTCAGCTCATTCAGCCTCATCATTTTGACAGTCATCATCATCATCATCACCGCGCCTCACCTATGAAGACTTCTTTGATTACTAGGACGGACCCTATGTCTAGGTTTCAGAGTCCTTCTGAAGTGTCCACAGCCAGTCAGCAGCCACCTCCACCACCAATGCTCACCGTTACGTAGAAGCAGGTGGAGGACACAAACTTTAATGGAACAGGCATTTAATAGTTACTTCATTAAATGATGTGTGGTGTGCATTTAGTTTGATTATCAAGTAATGGATTTATTGTATAAAATATTTATCTAAAGGAAAAATAATAGCTGTTCAAAAATGTGTTCTTTCACAGTTCAATTAAAAATGATTTTGTAAGATATACTAGTAATATTTTTTTTTAAATGAAAAATATATATAGTTGATTTATTTGTGTATCTTTCAAATGACTAGTTTTATTATTGATCATATTGGTTATGAAGCATAAATGATTTAATTTATTATATTTATAATGAAATGTAAGAAATGCTCAAATATATGGTTTAAAAACTTATCTTGTTTCATGTTTGAGCTGCATTTGCATTAAAAATTATTATTAATTGTTTAAATTAATTCTTTTTATTTCAAAACAATTATTTTTAATAAAAATGTAAAGACGTAAAGGTGAGAAAGCTGTAAAGAATATGACAATTAATCTTGTTTGTATTTATTGTAGTTTATTGCATTTCTTTTTAAGCTGTTTTCTAATTATTGTTGAAATTTTGTTTTATCAAATTTTTTTTCTTTGGTTTTGTGCTTTTTTGCATTTTACTACTTTAACAATTTTACGCCTCAATTTTGTTCTTTTAAACAATGTAAATTTTATGCTAATAAACTGTTTTAGTATTTCTGCTAGAGAAATAACATTTATGGTTCATTTCCATCTATTTAAAATATTTTGTTCAAGTGATGAATTTTATATTAAGGCCAATGAGTGCTATATTTTTTTTTTTTTTTAAACAAACATTGTCTGTGGCAAAGATTTTAATCATAAAATATCGAAATTATGTTTGAGTTCCTTTTTTATTGAGTGATTTTGCAGTGTATAATTTCATGTATATATTTATCGTATTGTTGTGTAGTTATAAATTTTTTTAACATTGTGTAATGGTACCAGTTTTTTGACAATCAAGTTTCCATTTCTTTGCATCTTTTTTATGCCCGAATAGTTATTAAAATTCAGTGTTCGGTTTCCCGTTTTAGATTTCCTCGACCGTTCAAAATTCCGAAACATTTGGAATTTTAGATTAATTCAAAATCTTGAATTAATTCAGTCAGTTGTAAATTTTCAGTTCTGCCCATTTTATTTAGAGTGTACCTCTTAATCCGTGGAAATTTGATTGTCAAAACTTTAAAACCAATTTTGAATAACTATTTACTTTTCTTTTTTGGAATTTTGAATGGCCGACGAGACGATTTATTTGGGAAAATTCGAACGACTGAATTTTATGAACTGTTCGGGCAGTTTTTTATAAACGCTATTTAATTGAATAGTAAAACATGATTTTTAACTGCCACGTCTTTCATTTGAGACGAAACTAGTTACATTTTTGCATTATCAATTCATTCAAAATCATCATTAATAGGATGACCTAAAAATATGGCATAATAGGGTAATTATTTGTTTTATTTATAAAATTATTCTTTTCTTCCATAAAATTTTGTCTGATTATTTAAAGTTTTAAATATAGATATATATCTTTTGTGTTAATAAAACCAGTGAAGACTTCACTTATTAAGACTGAATAATCAATCCAGTTAAATAATTTTAAATACTTTTTAATCGTAAAGGTTGTTATATTCTTAGACTATGCATACAATTGCTAATCATTCTTTATATTTTATCTCCTTTGTGTGTCATTTTTAGCTCATGAATTTATGTTTTATGCCTATATTGTATTATTAAGACTCATATATATACTTCCATTTGCTGTGATATAAGTACTACATTGCAATGTAAACATCATATTGTAATTTCAGACATAAAATATTAGTACTCTTTAGAGCATAGAAGTTTATGGATACCTACACTATTTTAAATAAGTATTAAAATGAGTTCTAATCCATTATATTGAAGCTATTTTAAAATACTGGTATTTATGCATGCTTACTGTTTTTTAGATATTAAAATCACTTCTAAATCATTATAATGTGGTTTAAAATGCTTACTCTCATTCATAAATAACCATTTTTAGTTACTGAAACTATAATATTATAATTTCAAATTCTGACTTGTTTGAAACTAGTAAAAATGTTTTTTAGAAATTCTGACTTATATACATGTTTATGCAATTTTAGTTATTGAAATCCTTACATTATGATTTCAAACAATAATATGAATGCTATTTCAAACCATTATATTGTAGTTTCAAATCCAGATAATTCGAAACTAATGCACGAGCTATTTTTAAATACTGGTATTTATGCATACTTACTATTTTTTAGATATTAAAATTACTTCTAAATCATTATAGTGTGGTTTCAAATTCAAATAATTATACATTTGTCTGAGTACTATTTTAAAATGCCCGCTTTCATTCTTAATGAACCATTTTTTAGTTATTGAAACTATTATATTGTAATCTCAAATTATAATGACTTGAAATGAGTAAAAATATTATTTTAAAATTCTGATGAGTATATTTGCTTAAACATTTTCAGATATTAAAATCATATAAAATCATTACATCATAATTTCAAACAATAATATAAGTGCTATTTCAAAAATACATGCATACCCACTTTACTAAAACCATTTCTTTTTTTTTTTTTTTTTTACAATTTTAGACAATAATAAGAGGGTTTTTTTAGAAAATGCATTATACTCACATCATCAGTTATTTAAACATGGCCCTGTCATACATGAATGCGTTGAATTTTTTGACCGTTTATAACTCTTTTGATATAAAATAATTTGCACACAATACATTAAAATTGTGTGATTTATTTTTAATTAAATACTGTTACCTAAGATAAATTAAAATTTCACTCAAATTTAAACGTTAGAAGTCTGTTCCGTGCATTGCGAGAGGTTGAAAAATGCTATTGTAAATATTCATTCTCATTGGAACTGCTGCTGTGAACAAAGCATTTCTAATCATCTTTAAAAGCAGAATATTGGATGTATGTAGATTTGAACATTATTCTCTCTATGTACCGATTGATCAAATTTATGGATGGATTCAATTATGAGTTCAATTGTGCTTGTAAAATTGTGTTGAGTGTGATAAAGGCAATGTTTTACTGAGAAAATCAAAACTTTATGCATCTGTTTTATTATTATTTTTTAATAGATTACCCAGTTTTTTTTATATATATTTTGTGCAATATTGAAACGCCTCGAGTCACGTTATAAATTTAATACAGGTTATAATTTTTTTTTATTGAAAATGATGCGAGTTAAATAAGTATTGATAGGTCTTGAAGCTTTTTAAGAAAATAAATATGGGTAGCTTAGTGATTTTTAATTGGGGGTCCCATATTAAAGTGTTTTTGAGTGAAAATACATCTACTTTAAGTATTTAATATCTTTTAGAGAGCAAAGCATTCGTCACAATTTGCTTCCACTGCTCATTTTTTTTAAATGTAGTTTTGATATTTTGGGACCTATGGTACTTTCATTTTTAGTCCATTTTAATGAAACATTCCAAAAGAAGTTCAGTCTTGTTTAAATTTAAAATGCAATAAAAAGGATTCGTAAATTCCATGCGACTAATTACCAAGCTAAAGCAGTTAATTCATTAAATTGAAAAAAAAATTTTTTTGAAAGTAATTTGAAAATGGCTAAATTTTAAAGCTTTGCTGTTGTATATCTACAATAAGTATGAAGGTTAAAATGACTGGGGAGGATATTGTATGAATGTTTGTTTGAAAACAAATTGATTTTCAAAATGTTGTATTGTGCAGAAAATAAATTTTTTTTTGTTCCTTAAATACGCGCACACGTCCACTCGTTCTTTTTCGTTTCTTTTCTTCCTTTTTTGTTTTGACAGTGCAATTTTTCTTTCCCTTTTCTTAAAAAAAAAGTTTGTTAGTTTGAATAATTATTTTGTTTGTTTGTCTGGTGTTTTCTGTCTGATTTGATTCATTATGATTGATTTCACTGGTTTCTTTTGCAATTGTTGATTTGAATTAGTATCTTTCTTTGATGAAAGATACAATGTAAAATACTGATGTACAAAGCTTGAAAATATTGTAAATGTTAAGATAATTCTTTGTAAAATTGCCAAATAAAGATTGTACAATTATAATACATAAATTAATGTTTCAGTTTCTTACTTCTCTATTTCTGTTTGCAAGAAGAAAAAATCTATAAAATTTGAATTTTTCTATCATATAGTTGCATTATATAATATTAAAGTTTTCCATAAAAAATAACTATTTAAATTTCGTCATTCTTTTAGTACTTAACAAACTTTTGATGATAAAGTATTCTTCGACTTGTAATACGTTTTGAAAAATGTGTAGAAAATAATTTGATTAGAAGAAATAATCTTTTGATCTTCTATGGATTTTCCTCCATAACTTTAAAGCAATAAAGTTATGTGGTTTGCATATTCCAGTAAGAAACTTAAAACTACACATTTTTCAGTATTTTTTCAAATTATAATTGTAGAATTATATTGATCGGAACACTTATATTGATATGTATATTCGATTATATATTTCAATTATACATATATTATGTATACATATGTCTGATTGTAGAATTGTATTGTTTGTCAAAAAATCTAAAATACTGCACACTTTATGTTTCAAATCCCCCAGAAAAGTGGGATGCCTGGGCCTCTCTATGATAAATTAAGTTATAAATACGTATTCTAGACATAAAAGGCACTCAGTATTTTTTTCCTCTTACTGTGAAACAAAAGTTTCAAAGTGTTCTTTTTAAGATAGTTGAAGAACTGAAAAAGTTTCGATATTTTGTAATTTCCGGGTAATTAACCTAATTAGCAATAATGCTAAATAATAAGTTTTTACCAACCTTGAAGTGTCAAATTGGGATCACGTGTTCTCTGTTAGATAAAAAGAAAAACTAAAAAAGTCAAATATGGACAGTAATGCTAAATAATATGTATATTAGTGAGATATGCCTAATTTAGACCATCTGCATTTAATTAGACAAACTTGTAGAAAAACTAAAAAGTTCAATTTCAATATTTTGTAACTAATGAATTAATCTGGGGTAAATAGACTAATTGACAGCTATTCTAAACATCATGTTCCCACGAATTACCATTATGTGTTTGACGCAGCATAGCCGAATTCGGTTTTTGTGACATTTTTGTTGTTGTTGTTGTTAATTTACGTCGCACTAGAGCTGCACAATGGGCTATTGGCGACGGTCTGGGAAACATCCCGGAGGATGATCCGAAGACATGCCATCACAATTTTGATCCTCTGCGGAGGGGATGGCACCCCCGCTTCGGTAGCCCGACGACCTGCGCGCGAAGTCGAGCACTTTACGGTAGCACAGTTTAACGAGGACCAATACCGCACACCCTCGGTCCCTACGCAGACTGATCCAAGTGGTCACCCACCCGCACACTGACCGTAGCCAGTGATGCTTGACTTCGGTGATCTGCTGGGAACCGTGTCTTAACGATCAGCCCACTGCGGGACTTCTGTGACATTTAAACGCGAATAGGTGAATTCTTGCAGGTGGACAAGCATGTGGTACAGCGAATCGGTTAGTATGTTTTAATGGACCATCTGGAAATAGATTTCTATCCTTCTAATTTGCACTTAAAATACAAATGCCAAAGAATTAGAGAATAATGCCGGAGGCAGCAGAAGGAGCAAACGGAAATGTGCGAAGCTGTGAGTTGGTTCAAAGGCAAAGCAATGTGGAACCGCAAAGCTGTGAGTTTGAGTAGGCTCATCAGCTGGTCGCTGTTCTCGTCTAGTTTTGTATATATTAGTAAATTTCGTGTTCAGAAACTACTTTTTTGACTAAATGTCAGGCAGCTGATATTTAGCAAGGCTTCTCCTTAATTTAAAATTGTAAATTATACAATCAAAAAGTCATTAGCAAATATATTTTTCGAATTTTTTATCAAATGATATTGAGGTAAGAATACATAAATTTCATATCGTTTTTTTAGAAAGTTATTAATTTTAAATAGTAGTTTCGAAAATTTTTAGACCGACAGATTTTTTTTTTATCAAAATGGGTCTGATAAAAAGCATCTCAATAGGGTGGTCCCAAGCGGTTCGATTCTGAATTAGTTCAAGGGTTTGATCTGTGTATTACGATTAAGGTCTGGCATCATGTAAGAGTTTAGGTTTGCAATAAAATGGGTCTAAAAAATTGTACAGTTTCAAGGCCCTACTATAATATATATCGATCTAGTTTATAATACAATATTATCAGCTCAGCTAAAGTTCGATATACACTCGAATAAAGTTCGATATTCGACTTTTACAATACAGTCCTATCACCGTACTGCACAGTCAGAACCTTACTGATCCTCATGAATACTCCTTTACTTCATTTGCATTCCATAACCTCATCGAAGCATCATAAAGATCAAGCTAAAGATGAATGGGGAAAGGGCCTCAGGTGCCCAGATGTTTTATACAGTTTAAGGTTAAATACAATATTATTTAAATGGATTCGATTTTTTTTTTTTACGGGAATCAATTATTAAAAATCTAAACTAATTATGATGACATAGAGGATCTAAATAAGATGGCAGCGGAGAGATAATCGATGCTTTTAACTTGATCAAAGCATTTCAGAAGGAAGTTGTATTTTAAAGCGTCATTAAAAAAACAGGATAGGCCAGACACGGGTTTTAAAAAAAAACATTAAGTTTTATAATTGTAAATAACTTAGCAAACGGGATATCACAAGTTCAGCCATCTTAAACCTCTCACCAGTACTTAACTTACTTATTCTTTTAAGTTGACGGCATAAAATATCATGTTTCGAATTACATTGCATCAGCGACAATTGTATCAACAAGTCTGAAAAATATTCACTGATATTTTAACAATATGATCTTCTTCTATTGAACTTTATTCGCTTCTAACTGATCTTCTACTGATAAGTTTAAAACTTATTTCTTCTGGCAAATTTCTTATGATCCATAATTTTATTCGAAGTGACAATGGGGCGCTGACATATCGCCAGTTGGGCTCCTCTGCTAACAGGGCATCTTCAACGTCTTCTAAGAGATATTTATAATTCGTTTCTTGCTCGGAGGGGGAGGATTTGGCTACAGCAGTGTATCTTTTCGTCTGTTCGAACATAGGTTTTTTTATATTTTGTTCCTCTGGACTCAAATTCTTCCACATGTCCTCCAAATGATTCCGTGTCCACTGTTAAAAAAGAAAATGTGCTGTTAGAACTAATTTGTATATCAAAAATCTACAAATGTTTTTGTTGCTTTGTTATTCTAAAATAAAAATCGTGAAAAAATGTTCTAGAACTTAAGAATTATTAATTTTGTGCATGAGCAACATCACCCAACCACGGTCACGCATAGTAAGTCCGCGCAATTTCAGCATTGACTCAGGCTAGATGACGTGGACATCTACATCACAACCAACAAGAGGATTTTCAGTCAAAACAGATGTGCAACGACTGTCAGGATCGCATTCACGCTACACCAGCTCTTAAACAACGACGTGAGCTATGTTTTAATCGGCAGGGTTGAAGGATGACCTAACACCAGACAAGTTCACAACTTTATGTTCACACAGTGTCTTCTGAAAAAGACTAAGTTACGTTACGTCTTTGGAAAGTCTTAAAGTATGCTAAAAAATGAATAGTCAATAATGCAATCCCTTCAATTTTTCTCTCTCAGCGCAACCCTGACTGCTGTGTTGGCATCAAATGATGATATCTCTAAAAGTTTCAGAGTTAACAAGCGAAGCACAGGATAACCTGGTTGGTAGGGCGTTGCGCCCATGTCCGAGAGGTCGTGAATTTGATCCACGCCGACCGAGGACTCTCCATGTATGTACAAAATAGTAATTGGTATACGCTAAATCTGTCAGGCTCACAAAGTCCTTCAAGTTCCCATAACAAATCAATACCCCTGGGACACTGGATTGGAGATGGATCGTGCTCTGGTTCAGGTCAAAATTATCATCTGTGGATGGATGGTGTGTGAATGTATCCTCACTGTGAAACGGGAGCTGACTTCGAATCATCCTCTGATATCTTTCCAGACCGTCGATAATAGCCCATTGAGTGACGTAAATAAATGTATCAGTACCGAATAGCATAGAAGTGTTTAATCTTAGAACCTGGATTCGTGAAAACGGTAGAGATAGCCTCATGATTAATATAAATAAAAAATATAGGACTATTACTACAACGAGGTGCTAAAAAAATTAGTTATGACTACATTTATGGTCCATTTCTTTCATAATAAAGAACTTAGCCACTTCGTTAGACCGCATCGTAAAAACACACCACTCTTATTTAATCTGAAGTTGGATATGTCCCAATTGTACTCTTATATTTCAATAGCTCGCAAGCACTAATATTCTTCAATAACTTCATGGCTCAAACCTATTACCTTTTCTACTACTGTTCTATACCTAAACACACCTCACCATAACGTGGGCAGTCCACTTGTAGGAGAATCGAACTTCAGTTCGGAGGAGCCAGGGTTCCATCCTCGATTTCGCTAAGACCCACCGTGTACATGCGATATACGTACTCATAAAATCTGTGGAATCGAAAGCTCTACAGTCGGTCGCTGAGCAGTACCATGGGTGCAGAGGTCTGGAGACTGCGATATGTCGCAGTCTTGGATTACAAGTTCTAGGCCACTCGAGACTAGCGATGAATCCTGAAGCTTAGAAAAGTAGCAGTACTTTATTTAAATCGCACTAAAACTGCACAGTGGGTTATTAGCGACAGTCTGGGAAACATCATCGAGAATGATCCGCGGACACGCTATCCCAATTTTGCACCTCTGCAGCGGGGATGACGCTTCTGCCTTGATGTCCCAATGACTTGCGCTCACTTTACGGTAGAACAGTTAAACAAGGACCGATATCGCATAACCTCGGTCTCTTCGCAGGCTAATCAAACCCACACGCTCACTGACTGCAGCCAGTAATGCTGGATCGTATCTTGCGAACACTTCACTGCAGGATACTAAGATTAGAAGAGCATGAAATGCCTGTTATGATAATTTTTCCGTTTATGTATGCTGGCTTTTGTGGGGTGAGTTTAAATAGGGTAAGTGCGAACTTAGTGTTTAATCGAGTTAATTCATTTTGCTTTTTAATATATTCATTAGTATAAGTTGATGATAAAATCAACGAAAATTAACTCAATATATTGCATAAATTTGAGCGTGTTTAAAAGTCATGACTTCAATGGCTGATTTTATTTTTTATTTTATTACCGTCGTTGAACAGCCGACCAAAATTTTTTGGGTTCATGACTACCAATGTTCAACTCTGTAGCTTTGTAATTTTGAAACCAACCCAGGACACAAGGGAACTCCTGGATCAACTATTGGGGAAAGGTAGCCTTCGTAAAGGACTTTTTGATGAAGATAACCTGTATGTACTTTACATGGAGAGAGAAATACATGAAACCTCCAGCGGTAAGTATGGAGTTTCAATGAAAAGGGGACTCTGGTCCATCAACCTTTAAGATATTTTACTTCAGCACTGGGGTTGGTGTGAGCCATGTGCGGAATTCGTATCGACCAGCCATTGCTGGGATTCGAACCCGAGACATCTCACTGGAAGTCGAGCGCTCTATCCCCCGAGTCACCACGCCCTAGGTAATTTCAATTGACGAAATTTGAAATAATAGTCATTAAGTTTGCAAACCACTCATCTAAATATTTTAATGTTTTTAAAACAAAACAAAACAGAGATGGCCAGAGCGGTTAGGTGATATTTTGAGCTTAAAATTGTTTAAAAAAAGTTTTAATGAACCTTAAAAGTAAATTAAACTTTTACTGATTATTCACGGTACCTGCATGATGTCTGTTGTACGACTGAAGTCACCTGGTTCCACTATAGCAACTTGTACTCCTTTATCTTGTAATTCATAGCGTAATGAAGTAAAGAAACCATTTAAGGCATATTTGGTGGCAGCATACACTGAAGTTAAGGGAAAGGGCATTCGAGCCACAATGCTTGTGATAGTTACAATGCGACCTGCAAATTGAAAATGATCGATATGAATTTATTGTTCCAATTAATACGAGAATGGATCTAAACATTAATATTGCGCTTTTTCAATTATCGATAACTTATTATCGCAATTCATTAAAAAAAAATCTTGTTTTTTTTCCCCAGTGGTTTTGCTAGAAAGATCACTTGAAAACCTTACATCCGCTATGTTGCCTCTATAAAGTTGTTTTTCAAAGCCTCAATCGTCACATCAAATAATTATTTTTAGCGAATAATATATTGTTTTTATAACTGTCATTCATGACTGTTGGCTATGTTTATTGCCTATCTTTAACCTGGAGTTTCTATGCTAATTAGAAAAATGGCAAAAAGTGCGTGATGTTACTGTTTTGCTAAAACGGAAAACATTTGTAATTTAATGTTTTAATGATTGAAAAGTTACTCTAATGCTCTATTTTTACAAAAACAATTGAATTGTTTCACGTTTTTAATAATTATCATCTTAGTAAAAAAAATCTCGCAATGATAATTTTTAAAAAAAATTATTGTTAAAAATTAAAGCTATTAGCTATTGTTAAAAATTAAGCTATTGCTATTAAGCTATAAGCTATTGTTAAAAATTAAAGCTAAAGCTAGCTGTGACATTTTTGGTACTATATTTGCACCCATAATAGTTATTTTGTTAATTTTATGTCATTTTTATGCACGACATGAACTACAGTTCTGTGCTTAAAAATGTATTTAGTTTACCTCAACACCAAAAATGGTCCAACATTTTTCACAGAGTAGTATAAAGTTATAATTTCCAGTTTAGGACACTTTGATCGTGGTTTCTTATTTTCCTTGGTGAAAAAACTTCTGAAACAGCATAGAGAGCTCCTCCAAAAACAAATATTGTATAGAATCAAATTTCTAATTCTCAGAATTTCTCACTCTCATCAAACGAGGGTTAGGGCCCACATAAATGTGACATTGACTCATTACTGTATCGGATTTAGAATTTCTTCGCGGCATAAAAAGGTGTATTTTTTCCCCGATTCGGACACGCTGCAAAGAATCATTAAAAAAGCCATTTTATGTATTGGGTATGGGTATCACCCATGATACAATAAATCAGAGTACCTTGTGCTTGAGCAATGAGTGGCAGGAAATGTTTCGTCACTCTTATGGTACCCATCATATTGATTGCTATTACTTCTTCACACATCTCTGACGTCAGTAAATCCAAATAGGTGTAAGCCATCACTCCAGCGTTATTAATTAAACCATATAAACCTATAGAAAAATATCATGTTCACATTAAGTATAATACAAAAGTTACACACCGATAAAAGTATTCGTGAAAACAGCGAATTTCACTTTAATTTTTTGAACTGTTGTCAAGATTCATCTTAAATAGTCCCTTGATTTTGCTGTGAATTGGAATAATGATACGAATTTAGAAGAAATAAAAGATAGCTAATATTTTTAAAAAATACCAATAAAAGAAATGGGTCTATTTTTAGTTATATAAAACAACTCGAACAAATCCCACTTACCATGTTCTGAAGGGTTGCAAAAATAGCAGAAGAAAAGTATATGCACTCATTTGTGCAGCAAATTCATTCATTGTTCAGAAAGTTTTTTTTAAAAAATCTTTTATTACCTCCGTTACTAGACAAATTAGAAAAAATTCTTTCCTAAAATCCTTAAATTTCCCTAATAAATCCTTAAATTTTTTTCTCCCTCTCTTCAGTACCTGATTTTCCCCCATGGTTGCTAAAAAGAAATCTCCCTATATCCGTAGAATGTAAGTAAAATAAAAATTAGCTTTCAGGAACTTGTTGATTTTAATGAAATTCAAGTATGGGCGGTTAGTCGAGTTCAAAATTTTATTTTGTCTTCGTTTAATGTTATCCAAACGAAAATTAAGAAATCCATCTAGATTTCTTGAGAGAATCATATTTAAAGTAGGAAGTTAATAAGATGTTTTGTGAGTTTTAATTGCTTCGATTCCAATCATATAATTATTTCTTCTAACTACCGCAATCTATTCCATAATGCAAAATATACCATTAAGTCATTTAATCCTTAGCGAAAGGGAAATTCAGATTTTAAAAATTCAGTAGAAATTTCCTTCATTAACTTAATCAATTTATAATAGTTACGTGACTAAAGGTTTTACAAGCGATGATTAAGAATTCTGATCTTGTTGTCTTGGCAGCAAAAGAATAGGAGAAATCATGTTTAGGAATTTAACTAAAGTGATATTTTATTGTTGTAAAGAGCTTTGTTTTTACTGTATGTTTGGGCGGTCTTTTTGAGGGGGAAGAAAAAATATACCATTGGCACTATATTAAAATTTCATTTGTATTAAGCTTCATTAGAAGTCTCAGAATAACAAAATGGAATTTGAAGTTGTAAAAACCGTATTAAACCTTCAAAATTATTTAAAACAATAACTATTTTTAAATAAATCAATATTTTTTTTCAAACTTTCGTTATTAGTTCTTCATACATTTTATTATTATTAATCGATTATTAAGAACATCTCTAATAGCCCTCTATTAACCCTGCTACCACTATTAAATGCCATGTAGGATTCGCGTTATATGCACGCGTAAAGATTATAATAGTGAATTAAAAATTATATGAACACACCTTTTTCTCCTGTCGGTAAGTTTCCTTTTACATATGCAACTGCTTCTTTAACCTGATCTTCTTTAGTTATATCAATAGGTACGATGTGCAGTCTTTTCGAACAGACTTTTCTTAAACTTTCAGCCCCAGGAGATTGAGGTTGTAGGCAACCAGCGAATACATGTAGCCCCATCTCATCGAATCTTCTCGCCATTCGGTGGCCCATACCGCTGTCACAACCTTCATAAATAAAACAATTTGAGTTTTAAGTAAAGAACTTCGACATATTATACATAGAATACATATTATATATAGAATTTGAGGTCTGCTAACTAAAAAATTGATTTAAAAAATTCGAAAATAAATCAACTAAGATCTTTTCATAAGTTTGTTTTTAATTCATAGAAATAATACAAAAATACTTTCGAATATCGTATTTAACTGAAACGAATATATTTCTTTGTCAATCCGATTTTTTCTCATATCTTTCTTTGCCCGATATTATTCGAAAACTCTTCTTGGAAAATATTGAAAAGGTAAATAGTAATGGCTATATTTTTTTTTTCTCATTCATTATATTTTTTGGTGTAAAAATATCTACATTTACCTCGTGATATGAATACCTTAAACGATTTTATATGGAAGAAGTTTCGGAAACTTAATACTGTCGGGGTTTACACAATACCCTTAAGTTCCCAAATACTGTTGGGTACCTCACAACAGCACAGCAATGGTGTGAGCTCAAATTTCAGATGCTCCCATGTCTACAAGTTTCAATTGTCTTCAGTTACCTTATCGTTAAAAAGAATTTATGGCCATTTGAAATTGTGACCTATTTTAAGGAGAGATTGATGTAAGGCTCCAAATGAGTTGTAAATGCATTTTTTCTCCAAACTCAGTGGTTCTTTCTTGTTACACATTCCAAGTTGACACCCATTGTTTTTGTGCTCGCCAGCGCTCATTTAAAGCCATTCTGATGGGTGTAGGGCAAATACGCTCAAGCACTATGCATTTGTTTTACTCTAGTCATTATAAATTAGGGAAAAAGAAATCAGAAAATGATCATAACTCAAAAAATTACGCATAGAGTTTAATCAAACTGGTACACATTATAATGCACAAAATAACATGAAAATTATTCAACAGACAATTATGGTGCAACAGAAATAAACATATGTATGAATCAGGTGCGTTAGTTTGAAATAGAAAAAGTACCTCCAATGATCACTTCTAGCAGCAGTACAGCGATGCTTGATGATACTGTCTACTAGTACCGTTAGAAGTGCGAGCCATTGCTCTTGCAAGGGTCTGAGGAGGATTGAGAACAGCCGCAAGTCTTCCTAAAACATCCAAAACACACTCGATTGGATTCAAGCCCGATGATCGAGCATGCGTTGGTTGTTTCGCTTCAGATAATCATCAACGTTGCGTTCTGTTGCTACACGGAGCTAAATGGCATTCCTTCCCTGACATTCCTTCGAGCACATAACGATAAATATCGATATCGGATCGTCGTTACATTTGGCAGTCCTTGGCTGAACCTTCTGGATACCGAACATGCGGATAGACACTGTTGAGAAAGTTTATGAATTACAGAAGGACTCACATTTAGCCACTTCTATCTAAGTTTGTCTTCCAAAAGAATCTCCACCATCTCAGTTCTTCGAATGCCTTTAGGTCATTGTTGCAAATCGGCTCCTTCAAATTTCTATTTCAAAGTCACAGTTCGCAGGCTGGCGATCCAACATACAATTTTTTGCTCATTGCAGATTGCGTCATTTTATTGCAGCCCCACTCATTTACATATTGCAGTTTAACCTAACAAATCTTATTCGACAACCTACTTAAATTTCATTGGGTTTTGCTTCATTTTGGGAGAGTTATTTTTGTCATTTTTCTTTATGATAACCAGTGTATATAAACAAAAAAAGTACACACATTATTAAAATTAGGAAACTAATAGAATAAAAATATTAGACATTACGTTTTACAAGCAGATGATAAAAGAGAAAGTGTTATTTTCACAAACCTAAATGGAAAAATGTGGGACTTTCGAGATGCGTGGAAGGGTTTTTCAGTTGGTAAAGAAATTTATTACAAAAGTGTTTATTTCATTTTATTATATTTAACCTTAACACTAGAAAGACGGAATATTAGTATATATCTATATTGGCCAAAAACAGTCAAAATGACTGGATTGTGAATGCGTAAATAAATTCGTTTAAAATTAGTTTTTTAACATTTTTTATATTATTTACAGTTATATAACAAATTATTAGTAAATATTAACAATAAAAAAATTATATGTTGTACAAAAAGTCACAAAATTCTAAGAAATCGTGTCCTTATGAACATCATTGTTTTTCTAATTTAAATTTAAAGCAGTCAAAATGACTAGCGTTAACAAATTACTCCCCATATATACATTATACTCGTTACTCCCCATATATACATTATAAACTAGTAAGAAATTTAAATGGCATCGCTCAAAATATAAAATTTTTAAATAATTTTCATTATTTATTAATGATTTGCTACACGGGGGATGCTAATATTTACGCAAGAAGTAATTTTGATGGGTGAAAAAAAAGCAATTATTATTAAAAATTGTGACGTCATTATAATTTGAAATTAATGTTTCAGTTGTATTTAATAGAAGAGCATATCAGGTAATCAGAGAGGTCACATAAATCAGTGTAAATGGTCGCTTATAAAAGGCTAAATATTACTAATAAGGCCCTCCATTTTATCCTTTAAAGATCTCCCTTAGACTTCAGAATACATCCATCAAAGAGAAAGGTTCTGATGGAAATCATCAAAAAGGGAAATAACACGACCAGAGGAAATGTAACAACAATGCTGAAAATATTGCTCAACAATAGAAAATGCGTTGTTCTTTCGTGTCGTGCTTCATTTTTAATAACCCCCGAACTGTCTTTCCCCCCTTTGGTAACATTCTGTAGCACGAATAAAGCAAAACTCAAATCTCGTGTTGAATTTTGAGGCCATTTATTGTGTAACTATGGTAAACGGATAAGAATTTTTTTTTCTCCTTTTGATTGCTTAACCCTATATTTTTGATATTTATACAAACATTTAAAAAATATTAAAAAATATTTAAACAATACAGCAGGTGGTCTCTATTTTTTCTAAAGATTATTTGATTTTCGTTTCTCTCATGTCATTTTTTTGTGTGCTCATTCTTATCATTATTTTTGTTCATTTTTGTTCATTTTGTGTTCATACTACATACTTTACGTGATAATTTATATTTCATAACTATCAACAGATAAATGAATAGATAGATACATAAATATTATGGAAAGATAGATAGACATATAGATGTCCGCTTACCAGTTATGAAGACAGCTCGATTGCCCGCTCCTTTTCTGGGTCTGGGTAATCGCCATGCCCAATGAGCAAACAATATAAAACCAAATACCAATTGAAACCTAATATCTAGGACTAATGCTAAAAATAGACTATATAAATATTCTACACTATTGGAATCCATCTGGAAAGAAAAAAAAACTTTTTTCTATTACAAAAAGATAATTAAAATGAGAGACATTAAAACAGGACGAAGTATAAAATCTTTATCAGATGTTAGCGATATTGATATTTGAGATAGATTAGATTAATATTTGCCATTGTCATCTGTACGAAAATAATACAAATTTGTGTAAACGTAATCCAAAAAAAAACAAAAAAAAAACAATTCTTTAAGTTTATGTGAACTAGTGCTATAATATTTTTTTTTACAAAAAATGCAAATAGAAAAGTCTAGACTCATCTGTTTCAAAATTAATTTCATTCCAATCAAAAATTCAAAAGAGATTGAGTCGTTTCTATTACTTAGAGAACTACAAAACATTTTAATCACTCGCAAATTTTCTTTAATTTTAAATAAATTGAATACTTTCAATATTTTCTCCTCTAGAACCCTATAATACCGTTACGCTCTAGATCAGCGGTTTCCCAAATGGGGTTCCGTAGAATGTTCACAGGGATTTCCTAGAGTTCACATTTTCTTAAACCAGAAATTTTTTTTAAATCTGTCATTATATTTAGATCCAAACATTCAACCTTCATTTATGTTACATTTTGGTTATTTTTAGGAAATTATTTAAGCAAAATAAGAGTAAAAAATAATTTGCAAAATTTAAAAAAAAAAAAATTTCTTCCAGCAACAACATACTGAATAAATTTTGAAAAAGATATGCATTTATGAAAAAATGCATTCGTATTTCTTATCGAACTTTTCAATACAATATAAAATGATCAAATTATGAATGATAGAATTATGTTTATCTCATAACTATTCTCAAAATTCATAACAGTTCTTTTTCAAAAGCTCTCATTCAGCGTACTTAATTCGGAGATCCAGGAAAAAAAATTTAGAATTAGTGTAAATGCCACTCCAGACCAGCAAATTCCTCTGATTGACTTATAATTTTAAGTCTAATGTTGACAAAACGTGGACTCAATAAATTTTATTCCTTACATTCTTTCATTAAATATAATCAAAATGATTAAAAAAAATTTTCTTTTCGTATATTTAGAGTTACTAATTTTATTTATTAACTTTTGAGTTTCGCTAAAAGATGTTCGATCATTTAGGGTTCCGTAGCCGCAAAACATTGGGAACTCGAGATCAGTGCTTCACAACCTTTTTTGTCAACGCTTGATAATTTTACGGCAGCCCGCTGAGGCAGGGGAGAGAAGTTGATATTTCAGATTGTTTTGATTTTTCTTATAATATTAAATTAATTGTATTTAAACATGTTTTCAAAATAAAATACAATTACATGAGCGATGTTGGTGCGACTTTAGGTGACGTCTCTCAACTCCTGGTTAACTTCTCGTCTATGGAAAGTCGTACAAACCAGAGACAAATGCACCATAGTAAATAAATTGGAAATAGTTTAATGTTAATTGAGCGGCCCAGTTCCTCTTGATCGGTACCGGTCCGAGGGTTGGTGACCATTGCCCTAGATTTATCAATATCTAATTTTCAAATATTATCTCAACAAATAATCAAAATGTAAAAAAAAAATCTTTTGTTTAGATATTTTGTAATGACATACCTGCTGTCTCCAAAATGGCCGTCGTTTTATAAAATCCATTTATAAAAAAACGGTTGGAGATAAAATTATAGGATTGGCCGTGTTCTGCTTAGGAAACTAATTAGTTTTTCTCAGCAAGCTTTAAAATTAGTTACAAAATTTATCAGTAGATGATGTTGTTGACTGTATAAACTATCATTTGTCTCCTTGTCGTCAGACTAACCATGGGAGATTTTCGTGGTTTCTCTCTCCATGTAACGCAAATGCGGATTAGTTCCATCAAGAAAGTCCTACACGAAGGCAAATTTCTCCCAATACATGATATAGGAGTTCCCTTGTCTTCTGGATTGAGGTTCAAAATGACAAGGCTGCGAAGTTGAACATGAGTAGACGTAAACCTATAAATTGGGTCGGCTGTTCAACGATGGTTATAAAATAAAATATCGTTTTCTGTTGCATGTCTGATCATTCCAACTAAAGTGGCACAAAGCGTATTTTAAATTTGGCCTTAAACTGTAATACTCTATTGATGAAAATGGTGGTTCATAAAAATGATATAGTTTTCGCCGAGAGCTGAGTCATCTGAAGTGAAAGCAAATTTTATCGAAGCGATTTCTCGTATGTTGGGAGCAAACCATCTATATATTTATTCCCCTTTATTTGAATGATTCTTTAAATTTCAGGTCATGCATAAAGCTTTTCATTTCCTTTTAATTTTTGACTTCGCAATTGCTGTTGTGTATATATATGAAAAATGCGTGTGCAAATTAGCAAAGGTGTTTATTTTTTAAACTAAAATTATAGAGCGGTATAGGAAAAAGAGGAATTAATGAACAGATGGCAATAAAGTAAACAATAGAATAAAAAAAAATCACGTTTTAATTTTTTTTATCCATATTTAAGAAAAAAGTGGACAATGTTAAATACTGAGATTGTCTTCGTACACATAGCAATTGGCATAATCAAATTAATTCATTACTCCAGTTACGGTCCCATAGTTTCGACGACATTCTGTAAGCAAGCAAATTTCTCACACAAAATACATTTTTCAGAGAGCTGAACTTCACTGAACTGAAAAGATTCTCGATTTATTGCACGCAAAACATCCTCCTACTGAGAATATTTCACGAGTCTATCATCATCCACTCTTTAAGTGATACAAAATATACGTCACACTTTACAAAGAAATTGCAAATTACTTTTTGAGTACCCTCTGTAGTCAAATAGCGTGAAACCTCACGATATATTTAATTGAGCAATTACACATTATTTTGATTCATTTAAAGGTGGGTCGACGGAAGTCCAGATTGTGTTTTATTAGTTGAATTCGCGTGTTTTGGACATAAAAAACAGAAGGTAGCCGTTTGAAGCGAACTGTATAAACATTAACACACATGCGAACGGCTTTCTTTTAAATATGTAGATTGCAATTTATATATATATCGCCAAAAAACAGCCAAATTTGCGATAAAAATCGAAAATTTAGAAAATAAAATTGTGTTTCGGCGAATAATTTTTTCCACTAAAAAAAATGACAATCACGTCAAAATCAATTTTTTTGAAGAAATCAGTATTTTTTATTCGATTACAGTAATTTTCGGAGGATGCTCCACATAACCAATTAGAATTGGGTCCAAATAATATAAGCCAGAAACAAACTACCGTGAAATAGTTTTCTATGGGAAAACATTTTATTATATTTTCATAACAGTCGTTGAACAGCCGACCCAATTTTGGGTTTATGACTACTAATGTTCAACTCCGTAGCCTAGTCATTTTGAACCAATCCAGAAGACAAGGAAACACATGGATCAATACCCCCAGAGGTTTTGATTTGTTATGGGAACATGGGACTTTGAGACTCGACAGATTTAACCTGCATCAGTCACCATTTACTACACGGAGAGTCTTCGGAAGGCGGGGATCGAACCTACGACCTCTTGGACATGGGCTCAGTGTCCTACCAACCAGGCTATTCCGGCCCTAATCAAAAAAATTGTTAAGATTTGCATTTGGCAAAGACTTTCGAAAATTTGTGAATACTTTTTTGATATTTAGCTAAGAATTTGAAATCCCTAGCACGGGTCCTGATTTATATATATATATATATAATTATACAGTCATAATTTTCCACGAAATATTTATAATTTAAAATGCATAAAAATTTAGTTCGGATGCATCCTTCTATTAAGTTTATTTTATTTTATTGTCGGCGTCGAACAGTCGATCCAATTCTGCGTTTAAGACTATCAATGTTCAACTCCAACCAGAAGACAAGGAAACTACTGGATTAAGCATTGGAACAAACTAACTTTCGAGGGGGTACTTTTTGATCTTTCTAAACCGCACTTGGGTTACATAGAGAAGAAAATCACGAACGAAAACCTTATATATATATATATATATATATATATAAAACACTAATNATATATATATAATGTGTGTGTCATTTTAAATATGCTTTCCATACAAAAAAAAATATCACGTACTATTTCATATTAAAGGTTTTTACTTTTATTAACCATTTATCATGTAATAATCAAACTCTAAAATGTTATAATAGTATAAAAAATACCAAGAATGAATGATAAATAAATATTACACGTAAACAACGTTAAATAAAAGATAAACAAATCTTTTTTTTTGTAAAAAAAGTATATTTATAACTTTCATTTATTTTGTGCCGATACTTAAGTTGCGTCATTTTCTATTTTTATCCTTAATTTTATTCTATGGTACTCTTTATGAACATGCGAAAATTCGATAAAAATAATTACAAAGGAATGTTTGATTGAAAAGAAATATTAACTGGAGAGGGACACCCATTCACAATACTGCAGTTCATAAATGAATAAATAAAAACCAATCAATTCAATTTTTTTTAAAATAAAATTACTTTGATAAAAATAAAAGAATAATAAAATCATATATGGATACAACTTACTTTTTAACTTGAAAGTTCTAGGGATATGAAACGAATAGCGGTATACTCATTAAAAAAGAGCAAGAACACTAATATCGATTTGACTGATTTTGAAAAGCAACAGCAATTCTTTTTTAAAAAAAGAGTAATAATGCTTCGGAAAAAAAAAAACAGTGTCATCTTTTAGAGATGGCACTGTTGATGGAGCGTTAACAATTTAATCATTTAAGCGTAACCAAGAACGACCTAAAGCATTGCTCAATTGGCGAGATTTTGGAGAAAAAAAGTATTTGGTGTTTTTATTCTGAAACATTATAAAACAAATCAGAAAAGGATGAATTAATAGCGAGATAAAATGGCTAGGTTATCACAATGATAAGTTGATTTTTAAAATGAATTTAAACCAAAAGTACTATTTGATCTGCTAAGGATAAAATAGGATGAACTATCACGAGTAGATATATTTGCATGCAAGAAAAAAGCTGCCGTTTAAATCATCATTGGATTAGAAAATTTAAAATGCATGTTTTAAAAATTTTTTGCTATAAGGATATGCTTTTGCTAAAATTTAAACTATTTGGGGCTTGAACATCACACCTAAAGAAGAAAGCCTCTGTCGTCACCAATGTGATAGAAAACATTGCTTTCTTAACAATATTTTTTTTTCTTCTTTTTTAACATAGAATTTTTGTAACAGATGTCAGATACCTCCGAATCACTGAAATCAAATTTGCAATCAGTTTCTCTCTGCAAGCTACATTTTTCTTAAATGACATTTTTAGTCTATTTTTTTCGAAATGTATAACTTTAAAAAAAGTGATATATAAGAGGGGGTTGTGAACATGTTACGCTTAACTTCTAGATAAGTTAAGGCATATCATCAGGGTTAGAATGGCATAGGAATTCAGGTCCGGAAATGCAGCCATACGCCGCTAGGAACCCTTCCCGATTACGAACTGTTTCTTTCTATGCTCTTCATGACACAATAGAGAAGTTTTCTTCCTGAACAGGACGACATTTCCGGGAGCGGGTTTCTATGCTATTCCAATCCCGATGATGTGCCCTAACTACTCCAGAAGTGGGTTGCAAGATTTATGAAATTCCTTCTTATATATAACGTTTTTCACCTTGCACATTTTAATAATAAAAATAGGCTAAAACTTTTAAGAGTATAGACTTTTCAGAAAAACTGTAGCTTTAGAAGCAAAACTAGTTTTATATTTGAAATCCCTGCATCCGAATTAGACAAGAACAAGCATTTGTATAAATGCAACAAAACATTTGTTATCTTCTATTTCATAGCGTACAGTTCTTGACGAAGGTTTTCAAATTATATATATATATAATGTTATAAAGGTGAGCCTTTCGTTTGACAAGAGAGCACTGCAAGGGTGAAACCACGGAAAGATAGCAGCACCACTTACTCGTGAGACCACTTTCACAATTTAGACATAATTTCGAAGGGAAATGAATTTTTTAAAGATCCTTCTATCCTGCTCAGCGACCACGGGACTTTCACGAACTCGTTTATTGTATGAATTCGGCGGTTTTAGGGGAGTGGAGGATCAAGTAAAATCCCGGATCTTCGTCTGATTATCTAAACACTAGGCTACCACATATGACCAGACTAGCCCCTTCAGCTGTTAACCGGAAGGTTTTTTGCTCGAGTCCACCCGTGGGCGCATATCTTAGGGGCCGGGATAGCCTGGTGGGTAGGGCCCTTGTCCAAGAGGTAGTGGGTTCGATCCACGCCGAACGAAGACTCCCCCGTGTAGTAAATGGAGACAGATGCACGTTAAATCTGTCGAGTCAGAATGTTTCCATAACAAATCATACCTCTGGGGTTACTGATCCTTGTCTTCTGGATTGGGTTCAATATGACAAGAGTTGAACATGAGTAGTCGTTGCCCACGTCGTTGAAAAAAATAAATCAGCGAGAGAACGTTTTTTTTTGGGGTCTGAATTCGTAACATTAAATAATTAGCATATTTGAGTTCACTCCCTCGAATCATTGAGTTCTAGAACGTGAAGATCCGACCGTTAAATCAAAAGTTATTCAGGGTGTTACGCATTGTACATTGCAAATTATGTATAATCACAAGCTTTCCTCCTCTTGGAGTTAGCTCAGTATACATTAGTCAAATCCCACTTTTGAGCTTGGTTTACAATCAAACATTTATAAGAACAAATCAAATTGGAGTTAATAATGAAATATATAAATAATTTGGAAATTTTAAATTTAACTTTTCTGTTACTATTTAAAGAAAATCATTGTGATACGTTACAAGAGTAAAAAACAAACACAGATTCACTTCAGGAATTTGTTTTTGAGCCTCTTGAAACACCTTTTTTTTTTCTCAACACAAAAAAGTACAGGAATGAGTTTCTCTGAAATGGAGATTGAATCTCATATTTTCTGGAAAACTGTGCGATAGTACAGCTGTTTTGAACATTTTTAATGGCGTTCAAACATTATTTTTAGCATACAACTTAACTTGCCAAAATATGAGAGAAATCTCTAACATTTAAAATAATTTTTCAATAAATTTGTTTTTCCCAAATTTTTTTTTCTCATAAGAATTAGGTTATAATCAATATAAACATGTATTGGACTCTATAGTCATGTAAAACTTAAAATTATGTCAAAAGTGATTTTTTTATTGTAAGGCAATTTAATTACTTACTTTTTTTTTGAAATTATAGTATTCATATTAATTAGACCAAGTATCTACTTTTATAGTCTGTGTTGAATTTATATACACTATATAAATCAGAAAGAAGAAGTGTTAAATGATTTGACAGTAATTGCATATCACAAAACGTAAGTTATAAATTTTATTAAATACCTAAAATACAGATTCAAAAATAAAACTAATATTAGTGGTAATATACATTAAGACTAAACATAACACATCAAAACTATGTTTTGCATCTTTAAAATAATACGATATAATAACAATTAAAATCAATTAAATATCACAAGCAAGAGAAGTAAGTATATATGTAAATGAAAACATCTGATTTAAATTTTGATCTTCAAAAATACAAAAAATTTTAGATAAGCGTTGAAAAATGTGAACTATTTGTAGAAAAAAGATAGACCTCTAAAATAATAAGTGCATAGTAATATAAAAAAATAAATATTTGTTTTAATTGAAAATAAAATTTTGTTTCACAATTTAGCTAAAAGCTTCATTAGAATTATAATATACATAGTATTTAATTTCTATGAAAACAAAAAATGTTATTTTTTTTAAATTTATGCCATTTTAGTTACCTAATTTAAGTGAATGATATAATTCTCTTAATGGAGGTGCTTTTGCAACAAAATGTAGCTGTTAGTGAAACAACAAAAAAACTAAAGATTTACGTTTCAACTGAACATTTAGCAGAATGAAACTATCTTCTTCCAATAAACCATTTGAATACATGTTTGTTCAACAAAAGTCCTATTAAAAATTAGTTAGATCTTGTCTAAGTTTGTATGAAATTGTTTTAAGGTTCGAGGACAAGTCTACGATAACAGTCCTCTGGTAAAGAGTATCTGATAGCGGCTACGTTTGCAACATCTTTCTTAAGCTGCTCTATTTCATCTTCGTAGTCTCTCATCCACTTCTTCTGCTCCACCTGAGCTTCTCTTAGAGCATCAGTCCTAGGTCCAAGGTCTGCGTTGATGAGTTCACGTTCGGCAACGGCTAACAATCGCTCTAGGTCATCCAGTTGAGAATTGTCCACACTGTCAAGGTCACCTGAAAGATTCATTACAGAATATGAGTCATTTTAACTAGTTTCATCTTTATGTTAGTATGTGCAGGTGGGTTACTCAACAAATGTGCTATTGAATGAAAATGTATGCTTGGTTTGGAAATTTTTGTACTAAGTTATAGATAATCATCTGACAGAAAAGAGATTTTATTATGCCACATGGAGATTTTCATCAAAGATATTTCCTAACACATAAAAATGAGCACACCAAGAAAGAGTCTCAGAATCAAATGAAATTTTACATATGCAAGTATACAATGTTGATAAAAGTAAGAAATCAATGCGAAATGATCATTTATTGCAGAAAAAAATACAAATGAATGGTGGCTTCATTATTCATTTCGGCCACCTCTAATGCGAGTGCAAGATGCTGGGCAATGAATTATACAAGTCTCTCTTGTTTCATAGTTGCTGTAAAAACACTGCTGAACTGTCTAAACTCGGAGGCTGCCCAACTTGCAGTCCCAGATATACTCATTCGATGAAAAAATCTGGGGATCAAGCAAAGCCACGGATGGGTCAGGGGCATTCTCTTGTTGAAAAATGGCTTCTGGAAGCCCCACCATGAGTGTCAACACATGTGGTTGAAGAATATACCGCAGGGTTGTCATGATATTCTGCGGATGAAAATGAGAGGCTATCGTGTGTCGTACCATCACACCAGCAGCAAGAAGCAGTAGCAGCGTAGTATTGAGGCGTTCACCACAGGGCCTCTACACTATTGATCCTCTCTTCCCAAATGACTACCTGAATCCAGTCCAATGCGGTCAAGGGCAACAGCACTCCGAATGGAGGCAACCGTGAATGGGTGTCAATCCTGCTGTTCATCAGCTTCTGTAGCTGATGGGATGGTATGTGGTGTCATCACAAGATCCCTCCTAAGATTGATCTAGGTAGCCAGTGCATTCGTGATACCCTTCAGGCAGGGCTCCTAGGAGCCTTTTTTCAAAAAGCAATACTTTGCCACCTTTCCCTGCTCCATTCTCAGATTCAACACACAATGAGCATATAGGGGACTACTTGTGATGGATAACCAAGTAGGATAACCCCAGATTTGGCAGTGTTTTATAGCAACTGTGGAACGAATCGCTACAGAATATAAAAAGTGACTTAGATTTCTTAACGATCGACTGCATTTGTGTGAAAGGATGCTAAAACCCTTATTCATTTGTATTTTTTCCAAAATAAATTACCATTTTGCGTTGATTTTTTAATCACTTACTTATCACCACTGTACTTACGTATTAAAATTTCGCATCAGTCTGACAACTCTCTTTGGATAAACTAATTTTTAAGGCAATCAGTGCATTGCTTCATTTAATTCATTGAAATGTGTTATATTTAATAATCGCATTCTATCTGATGTTAAAGGGTTGATTCAGAGATCTGTCAAGCTAAGTTCTATAAAGTTTCCGGTTGGGAAATTAAAAACTGGTGGAATACTGCCAAAAATGGTAGTGAGCTTAAATCTGAGTGTAACAACTATGATAAACAAATGAGTTCAACTTTCTTCTTCTTCAGCACGACAGCTCCTTACAGGCCTTGGCTGCCTCAACCACAGGTAGCCTCCAACACCTCCTGTGCATGGCGACTTTTTTCCAGTTGTTTATCTTTAATACTTTTAGATCTTTAGCACTGTCATCCAGCCATCTAGTTGGAGGTCTTCTTCTAGCCCGAGATCCCGAAGGATTTTAAAAGGTGGCAATTCAGACTGCATTATTTCCTGGACCTCTCCAGATATCCATTTTAATCTATTGCTTCGGATGACCTGCATTATCTGTGGCTGTCCATAGAGTCGGTATAATTCAAAGTTGTATCTGATTCGCCAACAGCCTCTTTCCTGTACTGGGCCAAAAATATTTCTAAGGATTTTTGTTTAAAAAAAACCATGAGTACGTTGATTGTCTGCGTTTAGTATCCATGTTTCACTTGCATAGAGCAATACAGGTAGAATAAGAGTCTTATAAATTTTAATTTTTCGACTGATTATCCTATTGATCTTAATTGCTTTCTTAGTCCAAAGAAACACTTGTTTGCCATTTTAATTCTGTTGTCAACTTCTGTTTTTATGCTGTTTTGGTCATTGTTCCAAGGTATTGAGTTCAACTTTACATTGCATAATTTTGATATAAATAAAAAGATCTAAGCTTATGGTATTTAAGTAGATACTTAAAATTTCGAACTTTAGTTCTATAGGAAGTGAGTCTAATTCACAGGGTCCTGAATTTAGCAATTGCTATAAACCTTCAGAAAGAGTCATAGAAAGTTCATTAACCCAACAAAATACTTCATTTGTAAACAAAATACTCTTTGTAGCGCATACATAAAGAAACAGTGAAAAGAGACAAGACCTTACCAATATTCACTTTCTAGAATATCAATTGTTTTTGTCTGTCACGCAAAAATACTCCTAAATTACAAATTTTTCTTGCCTGGATTTAATCAAAAACTCTTAAAAATATGTTTAAAAATCTCTTTATTATTTTTTAAATACATGAAAGTTTTGGGAATGTGGAATACCTTTTTTTTTCTTCAAAATTTGTTTGATTACTTCAAGGAAACAAAATGATGAAGTAACTGACAAGCATTGACAAGACTGCAACAATTTCTTAACCAAAATAAATACAGCCTTATATTTTACAAGAAATCTAAATCTCTTTCCGCTCAGAAATAGTCGATAATTAAAACTATTTCCTATCAAATTTATAAAATGTGTTAATTCTCAGTACATATCTACAAATCAAAAGTGATAAATACCCAAAGCATCTAAGATGTCATCTAATTTTCCTTTGGCATTTCTTCCTTTGTCTAAAGCTTCCAATGCAGCAGTCTTTGCTTCATTTGCTCTACTTAAAGCCTAGAATAGATTAATTGGTGTTGATAATTAGTTCGAAATATGTACTAGGAATTTTAAAGTTTGTATTAAATAAAAAAAAAATTTCACATTTGGGTTGTGCCTAATACTGAATTGGAAGCGTATTCTTGTCAAAATTAGGAATAGATTTGCTCAAAAACAAAATAAAATTTTTAGTTTTACAAGTTAACGATTTTCAGACCACTTTTTCATTAAATATTAATTTGGATGTTCCAGCTATCAGCAATTTTCATAATAAAAAAATGCATATCATGTTCATGCAACATTAGAGCATAAGGGTTTGTCTGCCTGATGAGTGAGTGTGCTTGTTTTGTAACTGTAAAATGCATGGTTTTGCAAGCTGGAAAAAACTCTAGAAAAATTTTCATGTTATTTAACATTAGAAACATGGGAGCAATTGGTTTGCATATTTGAAAATGAAGATTCTCAAAGAATTGGTGTTGGCCAGTAATTATATTCACACTATTGGTATTGTATCTAATGTTCTGCAGGTATCAACACAAATAATTAAAAACTCTCACTAGTTAATACAAATGGTTTTTATATGACAAATAATTTTATTTTGTAAACAAGAAAATCAATTAATTAAATACCAAGTTACGACTCACTAACTATACAATGAAATAATATTATAAACACTTCATTCACATATATTTATTAAACATATTATATATTTTATTACAACTTTAACTTAATTTATTTTGAAAGAAACGCAGTTCTGCTCTGAATATGAATTGTTCAACATTGTATCTTGTTGCATTGAGCATTTTTTGCTTTAAGGAACGCACAATGGCGATTTTTAAAGTTACATGAATGTAAGAAGTCTTTAGTGAACTTTAGAGGCGAAATTCTGATATTTCTATTTACAAAAAGAGCGAGTAAAGCAATAATTCCATTACTAACGTTAAAAACGTGAAGATCTTTTATAACAGTTGAATATTAGTAAAATCATTATACAGTTTTGAATGAAGATTCTGGAAATGGATATCCTTTTTAAGCAAAAGTACAAGAATTTCTTTTTACAATAAATTAATTTTGTATAGAGTCAAAAAAGTAATAGATAATTCTGGTTTCACCAGAAACAAATTACACATTTGAGTTTTGAAGACTAATGGGTTAAAGTTTAAATAATGATTGCATCAGTTAGTTTTGATTTTATAAAATTTGCTGTTAATATCTCAAGACCAATCCTTTAAATGCTTAAGACTGCACCTGGAAATCATTTAAGTTTTCTTGCTCACTGTATCTATAATTTTATTAACAGGAGAATAACAGTAAATGTTACGCCTAAAATCATACCTCTTCAGAAGAGTCTGCATCCATTTTGGCTTCATCTTCAAATTGTTTCATCCGTTCATCAGTATCATCCACGTCATCTGTGAGTTCTCCCGCTTGACCTTTAAGTCTTTTAGCATCCTCTTTAGTTTGTCCAGCCTCTTTGCGTATTCCATCTGCATCCTATCAAAATCAATGCTTTCATTAGCTACATGAGAAATGTTTAATTAATATACCTATTAGAGACTTGTGCTATGTAAAAATACTATTCCTGAATAATTAAACTTGATTTACAGTTACTCTGTAAATTATCATTCCATTTGACGCATAAACTATGAATTAAATAGAAGATTTTTTATTTATGTCAAACAAATTAACATGGCTTATATACTTTATATAAATTATCGATGGTGAAAAAAAAAATTAAACGCTTACAACCTATGAAAACATTAAAAATTACAGTAACATATCAAGTTTGCAAGTCACAATTATAAAATTGTTTTATCTAAACATAATGTATATTAACATGTTTAGTAGGTAAGTTTAATGATTTTAATGGTACAAAATGTTTAGCCACTGTTTCTCAGGGGTAGAATGCTCACCTCCCAATGAGGTTACCCGGGTTCGAATTTCAGCGATGGCTGGTCGAAATGAATTCTGCACCCGTCTCCTTGCTATCAGGTTAATTGTAGGAGATTTTTCTTGGTTTTCCTCTCCATGTGACGCAATTACGAGTTGGTTCCATCAAAAAGGTCTCAACAAAGACAAATTTCTATCAATACTTTATACAAGATTTCTCCTGTCTTCCGGAATGGGGTAAAAATGGCTATAGAGTAGAACATCGGTAGTCGTAAACCGAAAAGTGGGTCGGCTGTTCGAGAACAATGATAAAAAATATCCCTATATAATGCTTCCCATTTCAAGGTTTACGTAATAAAGATCTTCTACAGTACAAATGAACTATTTTACTATCAACTGTATTTGGGATAAGGAAGTGAGCTATTCAATGTTTGTAAGTAAAAGCAAATTTGTCTCAACAGTTTAACAAAAGAAAATATAAACTAAAAAAAAGAATATTACTTTAGACGCTTGTTCTGCCAATCTTTTAGCTTCTCTCGCAATATCCCTGGCGTCTGCAGCATCTTGGATGGCGCCACGTAAAGCATCTTCAGCATCAAATGTTTTATTTTCAGCTTCGTTAACCTTTCTTTTGACTTCAGGTATTCTCTTAATTGTCTCATTTGCTCTTTCTTGACTCTCTTTTACCTGCTGATCAAAACCTAACAAAAATAATTGATTATATTGTATCTTAAATTGTTTTTATACACATTTGTTTTAAGAGAAATAATGTATGGTAATAAATCAACATTAGAATTCAGGATACAGCTTGTGAATTGTTATTTAGTAATTGGAAGTATATGAACTTAAAAAAAAGGTGCCATACCTTTAAGTGTATCAAGGGTATCTTTAGCATCCTCTAAGATCTTTTCACCAGATTCAATTGCATTCAGTGCCTTGGCAAGTGCAGCATCAGTATCAGTAAGCAATTCATCTGTAATCTAAAATGAAAGATCTCAGATAATGATGATTACAAAAGTTATTAATTGAGAAAAGAAATCTTTGTAATTTTTGCTTGCATTAAATAATTAAAAATAAACATAAAAATATGATAACAGCAATTTGGCAAAAGCAGATTCCCACATGAAATTATGCGGGGGGTAAAACATTAGTAAACCTATCGTATTACGTGTTCTGTAAGGGTCTCACTCATTACGTAGTTTTTAAATCCTTGTCAGAAATTAAGTGAAATAAATATAAGGTTTCAAATGACTATTAAAGCCAGGAAAAATGAGCTTGCTATCAAAATCTGCTAAATTTTATAACCGTGAAAGACGAAGAAACTTGGAGGAGTTTGCTTAATTGCTTTTTAATTCTGCTTTGCTTCCTCAAGCAATCAAATAGGTTTTAATGTTTTCAGTCCCACTTTTCTCTTAAGTGATTAACAATTTTTTAAATTTTATTTAGTAAAAAACGTATACTCATTAAGATTTGTAAATTATTTAAGCAAAAGGAAAAAAAGGAAAAATGCCAAAACCTTTATCGTTACTACTGTAAAAAATAGAACGTAAAACATTTAAATGCCTGGTGAAACTTGGAAATGTTTTTTTAAAACTTGCCTTTTCTCATCTATATCCTCCAGCAATCAAACAGGTTTTGATGCTTTCTGTCTCGCCTTTTAGACAAGTGATTTAACAGATTTGTATCATGCTTCTTTCCCTTAGAAACAAGAACTCTTTTATTCATTATTCAAAATCAGATGTTTTCATCTTCTTTTGAATCATAATTATACAAAATCCACTGATCTAACAAAACAAGTTAATTCAAAGTAAATATGTTCTCAAAGAGTCATTTTCGATAAATAACAATATTCTGTAATCAGATCAATGGGAGAAATCTTCATTTCTTAAGACATTAAACTGTCGTAAATATGTAGTGGGGGGGGGCAAAACTTTATGTATTTATGACTATTTCATATATTATACAATTACAAACATACATAAGTATTTAACTTTACCTGTTGTTGTCTAATTGCTTCATTCAATAATCCTTGGCCATCTTTTGCCTGATCATCTAATCTCGATAAAGTATTTTTGTGTTCATTTGCAAGAGAATCTGCTTGGGCTTTAATTCTCCTAGCCTAGGAATGAAAATTAATAAAAACATTAAAAATGTTTTTAAAAAAATATAGACGCATGTATTTTATACAGTAACATTAATATCTAAAGTACCTCCATTTTTATTCTGGACGCATCATTTTGCAAAGTTTCTACATTTGCCGTTGGCACTACTAGAGAATTAGCATCCGTATAAATGCCCAATGCATCATCATAGACAGTGTTGGCTTCAGTTTTTGCATCTTCTGCTAGATCTTTAGTTCTATTTACAAAGTCATCCAATTCAATTAACCTGAAAATTAGTATAATTCATTTTTATGAGTTCTTAGAATGGAGAAGCTTTTTAATTTGAAATTTCTTGGTTATGCTAATAATAACTACAACCTAGACAAACAGTAAAAATTGATTTTTGTCATTCAATTTTATAACTTGTTCTCAGTTTTAATGCTTGTTTCTTTATAATAATACAATGCTAGAAATAAAAAAATAAATAAGATTTTAATTTTTTCTCAATAAGTTCAAGTAAACAACAATCTGGCAAAAAATGTATTGAAATAGATGGTTTTCAGGTCACATTTACACTAATAAAAATTTTTTGTAAGGAAAATGATATAGTATTGTTAAAATTTGCAAGTCAGAGAGAGATTAGGACTTTCAAAACACATAGTTCATGGATGCATAATTATTTATTTCTTTGTAATAATAAAATTTTCCTACCGTTTCTTTATATAATCAATATTAATATACTTTAAACATAGAAAATAAATAACTTAAAAATTTAAATATTTAATAGAATGAAAATTACCTTCTCCCAAGGTCAAAAACTTCACTGCTTAACTTTTCCTGCGAATCCAGAGTTTCACGAGCGAGACGATATGCTTCAATCGATGTATTCAAAGCCCGATTAGAAACATTGTCACTGACATCAGCATCTTCTTCTTGCCTACAAATTAGAAGTCATCCTTATTGTACATTCTCAAAAGGGAAAACTTACCTTAGATTAACAAATGAAACAGATACATACTGTGGTTTAAAAAAAATTTAGTTTATTGAAGTATGTGTGTCAAAAATGCATACATGTTTGAGTTATTTTTCAATCAACAAGCTCAAATTTAGGGTAAAAATGTCAAGTATTACCAATAAGTGATGATTAAGTTACCAATTTCTTATCTCACTTTGTTACTTACAAAAGGGCAACATCATCTTAAATGCAATATTATTGGTTTGCATGTTCTCTGATCAGTACACAACTAAATTTTTTGCAGCATAATGAAAGATAAAGGCAATTTAAATCACCCTGTTTCTGAGCTCAGTTTGAGATGAGATTAGAGTGCTGTATTATATAAAGTGACTATTATTTTTATTAAAAATTCATAATTAATTCATTCAGTGGAAAAATTCAGTGAAAAAATTCCTAATGATTCAGTGGAAAAATTCATAATTAGCCACAACTCATACTTATAAATTTATTTAAGTTGAATGCACTAAGCTTAAGTATTAAAGAAGGAAAGCTTTAGAAATTAAATTTGTCCAGAGAGTATATTTATTTTTCAGTCTGACATACGTTCGAGAAAATCTGAAAAAAATTAAAATCAAATTTTAAATCAATAAAAATGCCCCATAGGATGTATCTCTTTCAGGATAAATACAACTTCAAAACATCATCAGATCTCATAGTTATTGAAACACCTGGAATCTTTCATATTTTCATACATTCAATTTTATTCAACAACTATTAAAATTTTATAGTTATAAATAAAGTTATATTCAATATTAGTGATTAACTTTGGTTAAAGAATCATTTATGAATAACAGAATGAATTTTGAATTTCATACAAAAATTTTGCAACAAAAGCAAATTTATAGAAACAATATCAACACTATACCGTAAGTGTGAGCAGTAACTTACTGATCTGCAAGTTGACGTGCTTCTCTTGCAATCTGAGACAATCTTTCAGATTGCTGCCCCAATCTGTCTTTTCTGTCTAAAGCAGAGTGAAAGGCATCACGACCTTGAGTATCCAAATATTTTCGAGAAGCAGCAACGGCATCTTTAGACTGCTGTATGATATTTTCTGCCAACGATATGTTATTGAGTCCATATCTTCGATATTCCTCACCATCGTCTAATCGCTCTCTAATTTTACCAGCCGTTTCACCAATCTCCTTGATTCGCTTGCGCAAATCATTTAGTTGATTGATTAAACTGCTATCTGCAACTGTGAGAGAAAATTATCTTTGGTTGATATTGAACAAGGTACATTGTTTTATAAACTAAAGCATTTGAAGAAAGTCATGAATGTCAACAAATTCTGTTGGACTGGTTTAATAATGCAATACATGAAATTATTATATGAACTAATTCTTTTTCACAAAAATTCTTTAGGTTCATAAATTTCATAAAAATAATTTACAAAATTAAATTTGGAAAAATAAATATTTTCATGAAGTTATTTTTCTATTTTTTTTTATTGCGATTCATAAATAAATAAATTAGGCAAAAAAACAAACAAAAAAACAATTAGATACTAATTGAGCAGTGTTGGTGCTTACATAGTTCTACCAACATTATTTTTTGTTTGCTGTTAGTTCTAATTAAAAAGAGCTATTAGTACATACTAATAATTTACTATACAAACTACAAGGGGAAGGATCTATTTTGAGAGCCTTGTTTTCAAATATAAAAACAACACACTAGAATAAAATGCAACTATAAAAACAGAAATATATGTATATCTATATTATATAAAACGCTAATATGTACGTATGTATGTATCAATAAAACCGATGATATTTCTTTTCTCGCGCTGGCAACAGTTTTCATTTTTAATTGATTGGATTCGGCGCGCAAGAGCACGTAGTGAGCAACCAGATAACAATAACCAGAGTGAGCATTATCAGGTTGTTCAATTCAGATTCATGCACTAAAAACATGACAATATTTAATTTAAACTCAATTAGGAATTAATTAATTAATTGAAGTGAGAATGCTTTAAAAGGCCGCTGTTGAATTGATATTTTTCTACTGGGAGCTACCTAAACGTCTAAAAAACGTTTAAGTGTTTGTATTGAATGCATTGAATTTTTTTATATTTCGCGTTTATTTATGCATTGAATTTTCACGCTTTAAAATGCAGAATATTAGTGAAGCAATATTTGATAATTTATTTTGCTAATATGTTTCTTATTTAGCTAATGTTTTGATTTTTTCACCATGTACAATCTAAATAGCTAATATACTTTTTTAAAAGCCAATAAGAACATTGGTAGAATTCTTCTACATAAGTACAATACTATGTCTTTGATGATAAAATACTATGTCTTTGATGATAATATACTATGTCTTTGTGCTAGAACATTGTGTTCATTGGCGAGCGAGCGCAGCGAGCCATGGTTCACGTCGTGAACCACATAGGATTGCGTAGCAATTCTCGGGGGTTGCGAGCGTTAGCGAGCAGGGGGCGGAGCCTCCTAGTAAATATATATTCCATTATCTAAATATTCCATTTTTTCCTTAAAAAAAATAGGATTGTTTAAGAAGTGAGAGAGAGAGAATATTTAAACTACTATCCATAGGTAATAATTTTTTAAAAGCAAAACTAATGAAAATTTACTACATTTTTCATTTTAAATCAGTCTTAATAATTAGAGTAGTGATTAAATAAAAAGTTAAAATTTCATTTTAGTAGAAATAATGAATAAAAGATATTAAGTAAAAATCAATATAAACATTTTAGAAATAAATGACAACTTAAGAAAGGAACACTCTAATTAATATAACCTCATCATAAATTGCTGATATATATTTTAAATGAAAGGGAAAGAAACTTTTAAAAAATACTTTAAACTTTTTTTTTTCAAAAATAAAGTTTGATTTGCATTAAAAGTCATATGGTATTTTTATGAATGCAATACAGTTTGTGATTTTACATATTTAGCAACTCAATTTGATCCAAAAACTTTTTTAGATGAAAATATTTAAATTGCTTACTTGCAGCTCTTTTAGCTTCACTGAGCAAATTCTCAATTTTTCTTTCAGCTTCTCTCAATTTCCGTTCAAAATCAAAATCTTCAATTGTGTCAGGATGGTTTTTCAATTCATCCATCAGTTTGGAAAGCTCAGTTAACTTATCTTTGTAACGATCAATTGCTTCTTCCAGAAGTGAATAACAAGGAGGGCAATCTAACATTAAGATACATTTATATTACGCTTTATGTAACTACAAGCATATTATATGAAGTTAACATTTTTAGGAATATTTGAAATACTGTCAAACATTTTTTTTATTCCCAGGGTTGATTTAATCTGGCCCCCCCCAAAAAAACCCATTTAAAAAATAAGATTTTTTCATTATTGCATTTTATTATTAACAAATAAGTTTCAGATAGTAAGTTTATAAAACAATAAAATTCAAACTACATACATTGAAATATTTATATTTCCATTATTTCTACATTCTATGCTTTTAAACTTTTAATTAACCTTTTAAAAAAAGCACATACTATTAGAAATAGCAAATGATGTACTATTATCATAAAAATTTGAGACACTAATTCACGATACAACTGAAGTTATAGTTACATTATAAATACTATTTTCTCGACTTTATTACATACAGTTAGAGATGATACTTTTAAAATATAGCACTTTTTAACTCTTGAAATACTTGTTTTAGAATTCTTGCTCAGATGTATTCCTTGTTTTTGAAATACTAGAGAAGCTCTCTTTCACTGTACATAACATAGGAGGACAAAGAACACAATAAAACAGTCGGATAAGTAATGCGACGCACCATTGCATTAATACATTTTACATGTTAATTTTAAAAAAGGATGTTTAATATTTGAATTTACATAAATTTTCACTTAAAAATTTAGTCATTTTTCATAATTTTAAAACAGAATAGAGTAATCCTACAAAAGTAATTGGACCCTACTACTGATGTAAATGACATTGATAATAAACTGTATTAATTATTATGGCTATTGAGCACTTAATTGTTAATTAAATTAATGTTATTTATGAATGCACGAAGACTTACTCTAAGATAATAAAAATTAAAAAAAAAGATGAAAAAACTTAATTAAACTGTGAAAAACACTAATCTGTGAGAACACTAATTAGTTACTCACATTACAAAAAGAACTTTTAAGAAACAGTAATATTCCAACTTGACAACATTTTGATACTTCATTATATAAAAAGATCATTTAAAAACAAAGTTACAAACATAAATGAATAAAATATTTAGTATTTTACCTAAGCAAACAGTCCCTCTGCTATATTTGTTGTCTCTACAAATATTGCATCTTCTTCCTTCTCTATTATTCCTGCATTGACACTGACCAGCTGTGTCACACTGCAAGGAAGTGGACCCAGAAGGATCACACTCACACGCTGCAATACATTACATCCTTATCATGAAACAGCATTTCAAATATTAGGAAAAGTCTGATTTAAAGATAATTAAGTAAATTTGAATAAGGCATAAAATACACCCTCAACTGAATTTAAAAGGAATTAATATTGATATAACAATTTAGACGTAGAAACTTAATGTTTGGAAATGCTTATTTTGAAAATAGCAGTTAAAATTTTCTTTACTTCTTCGAGAAATAGGTTCGACGAAACGAATTATGATTGAAAAACGTCTTTCGTTATGATTGAAAATGAAACAAAAGAGAGCAATATTTAAGGTTAGATTATAAAAATATCAAGACGATCACAAAAAAGACTCTTGACTTTAAAATTTTAAAGAAAATAAAACAATGAAAATAATTTAATGGTTGATATTTAGCTTCACATATATAGTTAAACTGCAAAACATTCTTATAACATATCTAATGCTTCAAATATAAATTATTATATTAAAAAAATTCAACAGCATAATTTTATTATAAATAGATTACTATAACTATAGGTATAAAAATAATACAATATCTAATGGTGCTAGTTATATAGAATTCAAGGAAGACTATTCATTCAGAATAAAAATAGAATTATACGAACTGGAGACAAAATAAAATGCATATTAAATGATTTTTACCTTTACATCCTTCTTCAGAAAATCCATAATGGTAAGGAGCACAAGAATCACAGTGGCGGCCGACTACACCTGGGTGGCAATGACACTGTCCCGACCGTAGATCACAGGTTTGGTTATAGGATCCAATTCTGTCACAATCACAAGCAACACAGCCTTGTCCGCTGTCTATATTCCAGAAGCCATTCCTACACTTATCACACTTACGCCCAACAACATTTGCCTTGCAGCGGCATTGACCTCCTGTCAGTTCACATGGGTTGGAGCTTCTTTCTGATTCAATTGTTCCCGGAAGATAGCATATACAGCCTTTAAAAGTATTAAACCACAAGTATAAATGATTTAACAGAAACTAAACATAAATTCTTCATGAGACTACAAACTAAATCAAGAAATTTTATCTAGATTATTAGTTCCAATAGTTGTTGCAAAAAATTCTACAGTTATAAATTTGAAAAAATGAAACAAAAACAACGTATTATATTCAAAAGAGATTTCTTCTTGTATAACAAAACATTTCATTACATCTTTTGATTTAAATAACTTCGTGATGTTTAGCTTGTTTTCAAAATTTATGCTAAAATCAATGGTTTGAAAGAACAGTAAAAACCTATAGATATTTTATCAATACATTTATAAAGCAAAATTTTTTACCTCTCAAAGATGAAGGAATGAAGGGAGAATTTAAAAAAATGATTGTTTTTATTTCATCACAATTACTTATTTAAATAAGTTATCAATGAAATGTAAGACATAATGTGAAAAAGAAACTGGCTGGTGTTCTTATATATTCTCATTCTATCATAAAAACGTTTTATTTTAAATCTACTTATATTTTTTATGACGGTATGGGAGAAAAAAAAAGAAGAGGGAAATTTGAACTAGTTTGGATATTTAATAATGTAAAAGATTTTTTAAGGCAGAGAGAAGTTTAAACGTGAAAAATAATATTTTTTCAAATATGCTGCAAGACAATTAATTTTCTAGCAAGTGAAATTATCTAGCTTGGCCTCTTTCTTGCACGGCAAATAAATTTTTCCTCATGTTGCTACACTGAAGAGAATATTACGTGAAAACTTGTCCAAGTGTTTAATGCTCAAAGAATGAAATTCAAGTCATCCTAATTTACAAATTGTTGCAAAAAATTGTACAGAAAAGAAGAAAACAATAAATAAAAATCAAAAACTTTTATTTCCCTGATCAAATATTTGTAACATATTTTATAAAAAGATGTCATAATCCAAATAGCTGTATGTTCTAATCTAACTTATTTTGGAAGCTTAATGATTCTTCAATTCTTATGAGTTAGAAATGTGCATGTTAACATTTCAGTAAGATTTAATTAAAGAGAAAGATTTCTAGACACACTAAAAGGTAAACCCGAAGCAACTGGATACTCAATTGAACCAAAAAATTTATTTTCCTTCTTGCGGTAAGATGAAGAAAATAAGTACTTACGTTTGCAACCTCCTTTAGGCAAGGTTAAAGCATCTCCATAATATCCTGGTAAACATCTTTCACAACTAAAACCAGATGTGTCATAGATACATTTTAAACACTGTCCAGTAGTACTGAAAATAAAGTGGATATTGATTAAAAATGTAATATCAACTTTTCACTACACTAAACAGCAGTAAAAATAGAACTTACGTATTACAGTTTCCAATAGCATTGGGATCTATATTTCCACTGCACTCACATTTTCTGCATTGTCTTGGTGGGCCGAACCTCCCCAAAGGATCACCATGATAGCCATCAATACACATATCACACTGATGACCTAAGGAACAAAAATATCTGCTTGCAAACATGTACTGATACATAATATGTATAATATATTTAAAAATGTAAGGTAAAAAACAAACAAACCCAAAGGTAGAAAATAAATATTAATATATCCCATGAAAAAACTAGAGCAGAATAAGAATATTCTATTTCTGTTTGTATTGTACATGTATTTGACTTTGGTACAGGCACTTGACTTACATTTATTATTTAGATTTAGTCTACAGGAAATATTTTTTCTTTCATTAAAAACCTTTCATCATATTTATTAACATCAATTTTTTAAATACTATTTTTACTTGAAATGCATTCAACAATCCTCTGCAGAAATATAATTTTTTTCTTTCCCTATTATGAACTAATTTATTATTAAATTTCTTACAATTTCAAATTCCTTATGAAGATTTTTTATATATTTATTTGAATACATTAAATTATTATACCAACAAAAGTTTGTGAGTTGTACAGGATATCAGCTACATTTTAGATTTTCAAATCTATGACTTTTCATGACTAATTCCAAGAATTTTTCATGACTTAACAGAGTTACTATTTTCTCCAACAAAAACACAACAATAAATTTAAAAAGGAAATTATAATATTAATTGAAATGATAGGTATAACCAAAACTGTTATAATCTGTATCTTCATATTTATAGATTTTAAACTTAAAAACAGAGTAAAGAAAGAGTTGAAGCAATAAAATATATATATAAAAAAAAAAATACAAAAGCAAATCATTTTCTTCTTTTTTTCAGCAGAATTATATTCTAAAGATACTTTTCTTGTTCACCAGAAAGGATAGAAATACTCCAGATTTTTCTGTTTTCAATTTGGAATAAAAAAAAAATACCAATGACTGGCTTGCTTCAGCTAGAATTTTAAATTGATAAAAAAATAATAAATAAATAAATAATAAAAATTTTGAAATCACAGAAGTTTATAAGATAATTCACTCTAGAAATGATGTTTTTTCTTTCATTTTTTGAAAGAACAACATGATTTTTAAAGAACACGATAAAAACATTTAATATTTTAATAAAATATGACTGACAGTGGGGATTTTGTTGCAAATTCAGATATTCAGAAATCCACGAAATCGTAAATTCCATTATAAAAATTAGATTTTTCGGCAACCTAAATCCATGAAATTATATATATATATATNAATTCCATTTTAAAAATTAGATTTTTCGGCGACCTAAATCCATAACTTTCCATGATTTTTTTTTAAAAAATAGATAAAATCATGACATTTCACAACAAATTTTATTCAGTACCAAAATTCATGACCTTCCAGGTGTGCGGATACCCTGGTTGTAGCTTAGCAGTTACAATTTATGCAAAACAATGCTTATTGAACTTTATATACACATATATATATACATAATTTCTTATGATAAAGTTATAAATATATTTCCTAGCGCAAAGATTAATACTTAATACATAGAAACACAATTTAACCATAAACCAAAAGTAATTTCAAGTTAAAATTAAAATATATTATAAAAAGATGTTAAGGGTTTTATACATAAAATACATTTAATTTTAACTATTTCTATTATTTTAATCTGACAAGAAAATAATTTCAGAAACAGTTAAATACATACCAGTATGACCTAAAGGACATTGTTGACAAGCAACCTGACCACCCGGCAAAACGACACAGGGTCCTCTGTCAGGACACAGGCATGGTTTACAATCTGCAGAAGTTCCCTCACGAGCATCACCATAATAAGATAAAGCACACCGTTCACAATGATTACCTTCAGTATTATGATGACAGACACATTTTCCTAAATGAGATGTACAAGAGATATTTTATACGTAACTTATCCAAAGAAAAAAATATTTCCACAGAAAAAATTTACCATTTGAATTTTATGCTAAATATAACTATGAAAAGGTGACTAAATAACATAAATGTAAATTTAAAATCTTCTTTGAAAAAGCTGAAACCATTTTTAAACTATTTGCACAATAATATTTAAATGACTCATAGAATGAGACAGTGTACATATCATACAACACATACCAAATGAAAGGATATATTAGATAATATATTCATTCCCTTACGGTTATTTTTTTCATTGCTTAAAGTACCTAAGAGATGATCAAAATAATTATTTTTTCATAGTTTATATCGTAATTATTAATGATTCTAAATATATTATTTTAATCGCAATATTCAAAACTTCATGAAAAATTTTAATAAGTTGATTATCATATTTTTCTTCATAAACAAAAAGGGAAAGCGGTTTTCTCGTTGTTCTCACGATATTTATATCTATACGTATGTTTTTATATTTAAGATATAACTTTGAAGTGTCCTATTTCATAAACTTTAGGATAAATCTTTATCCTAAAGTTTATCAAATAGGATAATTCTTATTAGGATAATAAAATCTTTCATTGAGTAAACAATGTAGAATTTTTATGCAGTTGATTATATATGACGTTCCAAAATATAAATGAGTAAAGGAAAGCACAGATTAATAAAAGCCACTATGGTGATTAATAGAGGAAATGAAATTAAAATTTTGAATCCATGGATAATAAAACATTATAAATTATTTTCAAAATAGTATTAAACAAATTGGAAAGTAAGCTATGCTTGCAGAAGTATGATGCACCTACTTTTAATATATTAACAAGCAAAGTCACAGTTAACTGGAGTTCGTCTCCTTTTCCCATTCGGCAGAGGAGGAAAAAAAAAGGTTCACTCAGCAAAGATGAATTTTTAACAATTCCATCAGTTCCCAAAAATTTAACAGAATTTTATACAAGTGAGGCATTAAATTTTCTTCCCAAAAGCCAAGCATTAAATTTTGTTACGGAAGAACGAAACATGTTAATATTAGTTTAATTTTTGTGTACTATCTTTGTTATAAAATTCTGTCTTCATTAAAAGTCTAACTAAATTTCAAATTCGTTATTTGAAGTATAACTAGAATTTCAAATTATTAATTGAAACTTAAAAATAAATACACACCAAATGGCTGAAGTAAACAAAAAAATTTAATATTTTAAGAGAAAATTTTTTTTAAAACTTTTTCTTTTATTTATAAAGCAAAGAGAAATACTTTCTTGCCTATCAAAAACAAAAAAGCAATTTAAAAATGCATCAAATTTATAAATATTTTTAAATAATACTGAAAGAACAAAACATACAATCAAATTTAAAAAAATAACAATAGGTGAATTTTGTAAATTCATAAAAATATATGAAACATACGAATTTATACACCAGTTTATAAATGTTTTTATACTAACAATGAAATTTACTGTATGAATTATACTAACAATGGTTTCAAGACCTTTGTGTTGAGGGGAAGAGATACACTACCTGTAACAGGATCACAAGTATCAGCATGGTTATGGCAAAAGCACTTCACACATCGAGAGTAAGGACTGTCACCCAAAGGTTCTCTTCGATATCCTTTAGCACATAACTCACATGACAGGCCAGTATAGCCTTCAGGACACGCGCATTGCTCGATCCAGGTGGCTGGAACAGTATTTCTTTCTTTTGCTGCAGATTCCAGAACAACATCATCAAGATATCCAATACCTTTGAAAAATATTCGGAAATATGGATTTTCTTATCATAGGAAGTTAAATTTCGAAATTCTAAAGAATATTTACTTAAAAAGTGAATTTAGTGAATAACAAACACAAATGGCCCTTTTGAAAAAGTATAAGGAAATATCACTAACTAATAGTAGTTTTTTAACCTATTTTTATTGCATTATTTTTAATGGGAATACATCCAAAATGTTACATCTAAAAAACAAAGAATGCTAAATAATTGCAATTTTGTTTCCAATTTTTTTTAATAAATTCTTCAAGTTTTACAAGTATTTTTAATCATAGTCTATGTACAAATAAGGACAATATCGTTTGGAAAAAAAAAAAAAAAAAAAAAAAAATAAAAAAAAAAAAAAGCATTTTTATGAAGTTGATTAAAAATATTTTTATATGCTTGTATAAAAATTAAATAACAAAATCCAAACAAAAACTTTTCATTTAAGACTTCAACTAAGCTTAAAATTAAAGAAGAAATTCTTTCTTAATGGACCACTTAAGTTTTTAGATATCAAGACAATTAAAACTCAACTTTTTAAATGAGGCAGAAGATACACTTTAAACTGTGATGAAGACGTAAATTGAAAATGAATTTTTTTTTTCAGAATAAAAATTAAAAATATAATTACTATTTCAATTAAATAGTAGAAAAAAAAATTTTAATGTGCATTTAATATACAGTTTAATATGCAGTATTATTTAGAATCAGTTAAAATTTAACTATCAGATGAAATAAATTACTAAAAATAAGAATTGAATATAATACAGAGTTTTTATAGACTAAAAACTTACCTTCTCTTGAGAAAGTTGCCTTTATTTTTATAGCAGTCAAATTTGATAAGATCTTTATGTAATCAAGAGCACTAACTCTAGGAGTCCAACCAAATTTAGGGTTTTCATGCAATCTAAATCTATAGGTTTGAATTCTATGGGACGGAATAGGATTGTCTTGCTCTGTGATGGGCACACTGACACGTAGTCCAGCACCTTCCAGAATAACATCGTGGGCACTGATTCGCACACTCTCTGCCCCAATCCTTAGAGTGAAACTCAGAAACTGGTTATAGGATGCCCTCTGATTTCCCAAATAGCATTCTAAGAAGCAACAAAATTCTTTACTGTGTGCAATGTTTGAAAATAAAAACATGATTTTCTTTTTAGATAAAATAATTGGCTTACCTGGAGCAATAAAATATATAAACTCTCCTCCTTGTCCACGTACTTCAATTATTTGAAGATCAGCATCATAGAATAAGGGTATTGCACGCCCTCTCAAATCAACAGCTGTCCAGTCCTCTTTATCTATGGTACAATAAAAGTTACACAAAAATATAATTCACATGAAGTTGACTAGGCTCCATATAACAGCATAGCTATAGTAAAATAGTTGTTTAATAGTTTGTTCTAGAAAAATATTAGGTTCCCATTTGCTAAAATAAGGTCATCAACTGTTGCTATTGTTTTTAATTAAAAAAAAACTCAATATGGAAATGGGAATGGTCTATTTCATATAATTTGATTATTTGCAAAAGCGTTAGAGGGTTAAAGTTATATTAAGCATTAAAATGCCTTATTTTTAAAAAATAGATAACAAAATACTGATAAATTATTTTATGAGTAAGAATTAATATATTCAGATGCCAAAAGAGCAAGAAAATATAATCATTAGAATTATAACTGATAAACATCATTGATTTTTTTAAAAATCTGAAACAGCAATGAGATAAATAACATTTTCTTTCAAATAAGAACATTTAACTGAAAATCAGAGAGAATCAAAATAGCTTTTTAATTCCTCCAAGCATTAAGAACTGAACAGGTTTATAAAATTTTTCTCTCTCCGTGAATGTGTTTCATTGAATAACGGGGAAGAATGGACATGTTCATAGACAGAAAGACATCTAAGAATAATATTAAATCAATTTGGATCAAACAATTAGAAAATTAATATTTAGTCTCCTATTTGTGCAACTAAAATTAAGCAACATTTTAGTTGCACAAAAATTCAAGTCAAAAATTTCAAATTTATATAACTTTTTAAAATTTTTTTTATTTATTTGGTTGAGTTTATTTTTTCAGAAACATTACTAAACAGATGCAAAATACATAATTATCTCTAAAGCTATACATAATTATCTCTAAATACATAAGCTAATACATAATTATCTCTAAATACATAATTTTGAACTTATATATAGCTATATAAGTTCAAAATGAAGAATAAAGCAAAGAGAAATTAAAGACATATGAAAAAAGGGGGAATAATAAGTAAAAAAATAACAGTTAAAAAAAAAACAGATATACAGATATAATCGTGTGGGCTGATGAAAAGATTATTTCTTTTCCCCCCCGGTTTTTTAAATAAAATTTCTTCCCTTTTTTTTTTTAACCTGTTGTTTGTTATTTTTTTACTTATTATTTCCCCCTTTTGTTATATTCAAAAAATATAATTATTTTTCCAGTGTTATATTTAAGATTATATATTGGTTCGTAAACGTGGTTATAATTTATTTTTAATTTCATGGATCATTTTAACCTATAATGTCCTTTAATAAAATAATAATATAATAGATCATATAGAATTTGGAATAACTATTTAATAGTTTACATTTGCGTTGTGAACAATTTAAATCAAAAATCAAATAACGTATCTAAAATATTCAAATAATTACAACGTGATTCTAATGTTAAATTAATTAGTATATTCATACCTTAAAACCAACATTTACATTCAGTATTTACTATTTCTCCAACGTGCTCGTGCAGGCCATCCACGTGACTCGAAAAATCTGTTAGCAAATTTAATCTGCTAAGCCAAGCAGCAATTTGGACTGTAATTAATTTTAAGCCATGATAATTGGCATTATTTAACGAAATATTTAGTTATTAAAAAAAAAAAGGAATTATAGATAACCTTAGAGAATCATGGCACTAGACTGCACGTTCACGAAATTTAATCCTATCCATGGAATTAGCACGAGGCATAGTCAGAATTAAAGACAAATATTACTTTTAAAAACAAAAATGTATTAAAACATAATTCTTGGTTACAACATATATAAAACATTCTTCTTAACACACTAATTAGAATGTCTTAGGAATTCAAAATTTTGGTGCAACATCTCCAAAACAAAATTTAAAATGTTACAATAATTTAATATATATTATGGAAAATAATTCACATTTAACAACTTATAAAAATTGGGCTGGGTTTAAAAAAAAAATTATTCGCACGTCGTTTAAGATTATCGGCGTAATAAGATTTTTAAGTATCTATTTTAAGTTAATTTTAACATTATAATACTTTTCGACATTGTTAATTGATATAAATTACTAATTTAATACGCCAGTTTGAAAGAAAAAAAAATACTTATCGGTCATCCGGTCCCTGGATCCAGGGCCTAGTAGCCCTAAAACGTCTACCTAAAAAAACGTGCTACTTTTAAGGAAAAAAATTATGAGACTGGCTAACGCGCTCTGCGTCGAAAATTCGAAAAAAGGAGGGAGAAAACAGCGCCCTCTGGCAAGCTCTGATAGGCTCTCATACCATTACGTCACTCCTCTTCAGCCATTTACTGCCTGTTGGGGAAAAATCCTTTGCGAAGGGACTTAAAACTCAAAAAAGGGGAAAAATCGCTTACACGCGACCCAGCCACCAGCCAATTGTACAAAACAGATTAAACATTAAAAATAAAATAAAAATAGTTTTAACAATTCAATTAATGGTTTGTGATGTCTCGATTATTTTTTTGTTTATAAAAATTTATTAACGATGAAAATTAATATATAACATTCCATCCCGTCAAGAGAAAAAAAAAAGATTTTTATTTTTTTATTTTTTATAAGACTTATTGACAAACCTCCCCATAACTATCTACTGAACACACGCATTAATCGAAACATCACAACCTCACAACATACTAGCTTATGACCCATGAGTGAAGACCTGTATCAGAGATGGTTAAAAATCGCAATTAACAATGTCGAAAAGTATTATAATGTTAAAATTAACTTAAAATAGATACGTAAAAATCTAATTACGCCGATAATCTTAAACCACGTGCGAATAATTTTTTTTTAAAACCCAGCCCAATTTTTATAAGTTGTTAAATGTGAATTATTTTCCATAATATATATTAAATTATTGTAACATTTTAAATTTTGTTTTGGAGATGTTGCACCAAAATTTTGAATTCCTAAGACATTCTAATTAGTGTGTTAAGAAGAATGTTTTATATATGTTGTAACCAAGAATTATGTTTTAATACATTTTTGTTTTTAAAAGTAATATTTGTCTTTAATTCTGACTATGCCTCGTGCTAATTCCATGTATAGGATTAAATTTCGTGAACGTGCAGTCTAGTGCCATGATTCTCTAAGGTTATCTATAATTCCTTTTTTTTTTTAATAACTAAATATTTCGTTAAATAATGCCAATTATCATGGCTTAAAATTAATTACAGTCCAAATTGCTGCTTGGCTTAGCAGATTAAATTTGCTAACAGATTTTTCGAGTCACGTGGATGGCCTGCACGAGCACGTTGGAGAAATAGTAAATACTGAATGTAAATGTTGGTTTTAAGGTATGAATATACTAATTAATTTAACATTAGAATCACGTTGTAATTATTTGAATATTTTAGATACGTTATTTGATTTTTGATTTAAATTGTTCACAACGCAAATGTAAACTATTAAATAGTTATTCCAAATTCTATACGATCTATTATATTATTATTTTATTAAAGGACATTATAGGTTAAAATGATCCATGAAATTAAAAATAAATTATAACCACGTTTACGAACCAATGTATAATCTTAAATATAACACTGGAAAAATAATAATATTTTTTGAATATAACACTTTTTTCATATGTCTTTAATTTTTCTTTGCTTTATTCTTCATTTTGAACTTATCTAATGGGTTCTGTTTACTTGCAGCTTAAGCGCAATAAATGAAACTTATTGTTTTTCTTAACTTTCTTCGTGTTTTCTTGTATTTATTATATATATATATATATATATCTGTTGTTGAATGATTACCTCTCTCAAAATTTGATTCTATTGGCTTTTTATAAAATCCTGGAGCACTGTGACACTCATTAGAATGGCCATAGCAAAAACAGGCAACACATCCAAATTCATTTTCTAATTGTAAGTCAAAAAATCCCTTTTTGCAACTGTAACAGACAAATATTTCACTTATTATCACAGAAAGCATTTCATGTAATAAATAAATAATATTAATAATAATATAGAAAGCAACTCGAATTAAATAAAAACTATCACTTCAACTTTATAAGAGTGAAGCATAGGTAAAATTCAAAATATTTTTAATGGAAGGTAAAATTAATGATGATTCAATATAAGCATACAAATGGATGTTCTTTCATTGATATATTCATTCACTGAAAACCTCTAAATTTGTTGCCATTTACCTAAAAGAATTTGTGTTTAAACACTAAACATTTCCTGTAAGTGAGTTCCTGTAAGTAAGTTTCCTGTAAACATTTTATGTATTATGTTTACTCATAATTTTGAATATTAATAGGCATTTAATTCATCAAACATAGTTAAAAGAATTTTTTAATTAATTTAAAAAGAGAGCTCTGAATAAAAATAAACGGAACATTTTAGAAAAAAAAAGGTTTGAATTGATTTCGATAAATGAGGTTCACTTCATTATGTAGTTACATTTATTTAATAATTCAAGCAAGCAAAGCAATAGTCGGTACAAAAATTCTATTTCAAGAATTCTATTTTAAGAAATTCATTCTATTTTAAGAAACTTACTCAATTTTAGGGAATTTTCTAAAATGTACAAAAACCAGGAGAATTTTAAATAAACCAGTAGACCAGGAGAAACTATCAAAATCCAGTAGTCTACTGGAAAAACCAGTAGAGTTGGCAGCTATGTATTAATTATAAAGGATAGATAGATAAAGGGTACATAGCTGTAGATAGTGCAAAATTCATAAATAATATAGATGAATTTTTTAAACTAGATGAACACACTATAAATAAATATAAATATAACTTAATATTTCTAAACAGCGACATTTTTAAAAATATCTTTAATGAAAAATACAATATAATTTTTTAAATCTATGCTTCATAGAAGATTTAATCGATCTTGCAAAAAATATTGTACTAGAAAAAGTTTCTAAATATTTATAGGGACTTGCAATGCGACAAATGCATAATAAGTGTCAGTAGAATTTTTTTTCTTTTAAAAAAATAATAATTAAATATTTGATTGAATAATAAAAAAATTATATAGATTCCAAAAATTTATTTCAAATAAGGTACAGATAAAATAATTTATTTTAAAGGAAAATATAAATTTAATTTACCTAAAAATAAAATAAAAAAACAATTGAGAAAACTATTATTTAGGTGTTACTTGATAAATAATGTAAAAATTAACTAGTTACAAAATAAAATATACAATTCTTATCACGGACATATAACATAAAATACAATAACATATAATATAATAACTTAAAATAACATATTTGAATGTATAAAAAATATTTACCTATCACATCTTTGACCAACAACATTTTCTTTACAAGGGCAATAACCTAAGGATGGATCACAACTTGGTGCATCTGGAGCAATACCAGCAAGATTGCATCCACAGGGTCTGAAAATAAACAGAATTAAACAAAAATTATCTCAATTAGAATAATGCTTGCAAAAAAGTGACATCATAAGTAAAATTTACAGCTTAAATAATTCAACTGTTAATCATATCAATGCTGTAAACTGTGAGTCAATTTGAAATTGGTTTTCCCATGTTTGCACATTTACATTATTAAAAGACTCAATCTGTGTTAATCTTTTATATCATGCACTTAAAGAAAAGCAATAGATAGAAGGGATGGCATAATTAACAATGAATTTGATAAATCCTAGTTAATTTATTCAAAGGATTAGCAGAAACACAAAGCAACATAAGAACAGCCTTAAAAAACAAAAACATTAATAATTTAAAAAAAAAAGGAGAATTGTTACCTGCAACCATTAGCTGTCATGTCATAAAAATTTGGTGCACATTTTCCACAAGTTCGAGTGCCAACACCTGGTTTACATTGGCATTGGCCATCTTCCAAACATTGATTTGCGGTGGAACCTAGTAAATATTGAACTTCTTTAAAATAAAAACTAAAAATACCTTTTTTTTTATACCTGATTATATAAATATTAGCAATATTAAAATGTAAGAAAGAAAAAAGTTAATCATCCACAAAAAATTTTTTTTTCAACAATTCTTTTCAGAATTACATATTTACTTAGAAGATAAAAAAAATATGAAAAAGTTTGTAGGATTGCTTTAATTTCAAATATTGAACCAATATATTAATATATAAATTCTTCCATAAATCAAAATTGAAAAAAGAACTATTCACTAAATGAAAAAAAATAAAAAACAATTGCAAAATATAGTTACATAGAACTAGAAGGGTCAAATATAATCAAACTATAGATAAATCTAGAAAATAGATAAAAGAATATAAAGATAAATTTAGTATTACTCAATACAAATTATAAAATGAAGATAAATCTAATATTAATCAATACAACTTATAAAATAAAGGTAAAAATTCAGTAATTATCTATACAAATTATAAAATGAAGATAAATTCAGTGTTAATTAATACAAATAATAAAAATCAGCATTTACCGACACTATCACAGGCACAAGGAACACACTCTTTGTCATCTTTTCTTCTATAATGAAGAGGTTGACAACGCTCACAATTGACTCCTTCAGTATTATCTTCACACTCAATGCAATGACCTCCACTGCCAGTTCTGTCAAATAACCGTTGATCGAAGAAACACTTGTTGGATTTTCCATTGCAATTACAAGCTAAAAATACATTAACAGAGATTACATATGTTAAATAACAGTTAAAGAAATGCAATTAATATTTAACAGCTACTGAACTGTTAAGTATCATTGAACATTACACACATTTTTTTCCCTATATACTGATATAAATACAGCATAACTCTAGAAAATGCGATTTTTACTGTTAAGAAAATATCGATTTTACAGCTAGCATTGTTTAAAGACTAAATATGAAAGAAAAGAAAAAACAATTTTTAATAATTTCAAACTAAAAATTATTCATTTACAAATGTGGTCAAAATTCTGAAGAATTTTTGGCAGGGTGACCTGTAGTAATTCACGATCACTCTGTTTCTAGGGTAAATAATGATTACCTAAGTTTTACTTTTAAAAAAAATTAATTTTTTTTAAATTTGAGACATGGACAAGAATGCTTGTACATTTTACTAAAGTATAACTCCATTTACTTAATAATAGTTTTTTGTTTAATCTAACAAAATGAGTAATCTTTTAAAATGCTTTCTGTATTTTCCATTTCAAAGATGGGTCTCAAACTGTGCACATTTTTCCTTCTCTTAATACATATTTTGAGTTACTTTCTTTTTCCTTGATATAAAAATAGCGTAAGCTTAAGCATCTACTGTAAACATTATAATTGATTATAGGAAACTATATCAAATGTTGCCCCCTACAGATGGGGTAATTATTGATCACTGGGTCAATTCTTGATCATTGTCATTTCTTCTTATAAATACAGTACACTCTCGATTAACCGTGCGCGGATTATCCGGTTTGCAGATTATCCGTGCTCATTCCGGAGTCAACAGAAAATTTAAAGAGAAACATTTTCAAGATTGAAAAAATTTGATTCATGAAGTTATAACACTACCAAATTTTTGAAAGCAATATTCGTTATTGAATTGCAGTATATGGAATATCAGCAGCATGGTCAAAGGTAAATCCGTCTACTTTATCACGATCTTGGAGAAAGATCATACCGCTTGATGAACAATCCTCTTCAGATATTCAAGAAGAGTATGATAATAGTATTCTTGAACAAGCAAAAGAAATCGAAGGTTTCGAAATTCTTGATGAAGAAAATTTAGAAGATTGGTTTCAAAGTGATGCATGTGAGCCGCCTG